GCTGGCCCACTGATTCCCTTCCCCCCTGCCTGCCTCCTACCCCTGGCATTCAGCCCCTTCCCCTGTCAAGTTGAGGGGTCTCTCCTCCCATGAGCTGATCTGCCTGGCCCTCTAAATCTCAGATGCCTCCCATAGTGCTCGTCCAGGTCTTGTGGACTATGACCCCCACCCTGTTTCCCACAACACGCTGTGGTCCCCACCAGAAACCTGGGGCTACCTCTTTTTTTTTTCTCCACCTCCTCAGCCCTGCACAGCTGCCAGCTCCTGCCAAGGGGCCTCCTCAGCCCCCAACTCTGCTGCCAGAGCTTGTACTCCCCTGGGCCCCCATCCAACCCCTAAACTGCTGTGTGCACACACACCAACAGCCGCATGCAAATGCATACATGATTGTAGACATGCATAGGTGCAAACATACATGCATAAGCTTTATACACATGCACCCGTACAAATGTACACACATATAGGCATGCATACACATACACACTCCCACATGCAATATAGACAAATGTACCTGTTGATACACAATGTACACATACAAAAACATGTCTACAAACACATGCACAAAACACATGCATACCTGTGCACACATAAACATATATAAACACCCCCATGCAAATACAAATATATTCAACTCAAAGCAGCTTGAGCTAAACAAGGAGTCTTCTTTTTCATTCCCCAAAGAATACAAAAAAGCTGGGCATGCTGGATGCTGGTGCCTTACACTGATAATCCTAGCTACTCAGGAGACTGAGATCTGAGGATCAAGGTTCAAAGCCAGCCTAGGCAGGAAAAGTCTGTGACACTCTTGTCTTCAACTAACCCCCAGAAAACTGGAAGTGGTGCTGTGGCTCAAATTGGTAGAGCACTAGCCTTGATCAAAAAAGCTCATGACCCCATGACCCACCCACCCCCACAAAAAAAAAAAAAAAAAAAAAAAAAAAAGGCTGAACATAATGGTGCATTCCTGTAATCCCAGCCCTCAGGAATCAAAGGATCACAAGTTGAAATTTAGCAAGGACTACATAGCAAAGTCTTGTTTAGAAAGCAAACTGGCCGGGCACTGGTGGCTTATGCTTATCATCCTAGCTACTCAAGAGGCTGAGAGCTGAGGATTGCGATTTGAAGCCAGCCTGGGCAGGAAAGTTCATGAGACTTTTATCTCCAATAAACTACTCAGGAAAAAGTCAGAAATGGCTCTGTGGTTCAAGTGGTAGAGCTCTAGCTCTAGACCTGAATTCAAGCCCTAGGACAGCACAAAAACAAACTCTGGCTAAGCACTGGTAGCTCCTGCCTGTAATCTTAGCTATTCAGGAGGCTGAGATGTGAAGGGTTGATGTTCAAAGACAGCCTAGATCAGAAAGTCCCTGAGACTCTCATCTCCAATTAACTACCAAAAAGCTAGAAGTAGAGCTGTGGCTCAAGTTCAAGTCCGAGGACCAGCATCTAAAAATAGAGAGTTATATCGCAATACTTTGTCCCTAAAACAAACTGTGAGGAGGGCCTACCGTCATGGGCATTGTCCTTTCCCTCCGTCCCATGTTGTAGTAGCCGCATGCACAGCCAGTGGCTGGCCTGTGGAGGTAGCAGCCATAGCTTAGTCTCTGTTCCCACAACATGACCACGGCGGGTGTTGAAGGTGGCTTTTGAAGGTGATACAGTGACGCCCAGTACTTGCAAATGAGAGGTTCCAGTCCTGGGACCGTAATTAAGTGGGAGCCAGGCTCCTCTCTGACATGTGTTCAGCTATTTGTGAGGGGTGAGCGTGGTTAAGCACTTCTGGCTTCAAGTGCCTCACGCTGAGTTACTTTGCCAAGACTTAGGGACAAAGCAGCTCCCACTTTTTCCAAAGCAGATGTTTTTGGAGCGAATTCTCCCCCTATAGTTGGTTTCTGGACCTTTGCCCTGGGGTTCCCCCCAAACTCCCAACCCTTCCTCCACTCAGCCTGCAGGACCCCATGCTTGGGTGATACAAAGCATGGCAGCCTCCTGGCCTCCGCTCACCTTGTCCTGAGGCCCTCAATGTCAATCCTCCTGTCTTGCCTGCCTCCCGAATGGGTGTCATTTTTCATACCATCCCTGTGGCCAAGTGCTTCTGTCTGTTACCTTGGATTTATGCTGGGCAGCTGGGGGACTAGGACAATGTTTTTGATGGCTCAGTGCTTAGAGATTCCCCGAGCTGATTTCTTGAGCCCCTCTGGATTTCTGGATAGGCAAGGCTGCTGGCCAGGTAGCCCTGGGAAATGGGGTGTACTTATGTCATTGCTGGCCTGGGCTGTGGTTGGCTGGCCCCATGGCCCTCTCGGAACTGTGCTGGCTGACAGCTCTCCCAGCCTCTGGAGCCACGAGGCCAAATCCCTCATGGCAAGAAGGAAAGCAGTGACCCAGAGGCCTTCCTGGGGCCCAGAAGCTTGAGCCAGGTATCTACAGAGGGCTGGGCACTGGCCTGACTGGGGGGCTAGGGATGCACATTGCCACGTGTCAATAGGTACCAAGGAGAATGGGGGAGGGGGGATGGTGCTCCAGTCTGCTGCTCTTCCTGCCAGTTTCCCCAAATACTCTCCCCACAGAAAATATGAACGTCATTGGACAGGGTCCAAGCCCAGGGAATTCCATTGTTCTGGCTGCAACCCTGAGATGTGGGGGCCAGGAACAGCCTGGACACGTGCGACCGGAGACTGGCTTTGCTCCCAGCAGCTACAGGTCTCAGAGCCTCAGCTCGGTTGTCTCCCTGGCCTGGCTCACTCCTTGCTCTGTTCCAGATGCTTCTGCCAGATGCTTCCAACAGTTCAGCTCTCAAGGTTCACGCTGAACAGACTCTCGCAGCTCTAATTTTCACTCACAAACACTGACTTCACTAGAAGGGGGAAAGGGGAAAGGGAGGACTGGTGGATGGGCTTCATCTGTAGAGGGAAGCTGATATGCAGCCTTCAGCCACACATGGGCCAGAGCTGGCAGGAAGAGCCTGTGAGCGCCGGCCAAAGCACCTGGGCGGGGGTCTTCCTTCCTGCCCTGTTCCCAGGTGGACTGCTTCTCTCAGTTAACCCTCACCATCCTGGGAACCCACTCTGCTCTCACCCTGAGTACTATGTGCAGGAGTCACCAGACAACATGTGGAACTATTTCACCTTCTCCACCCTGGACATCTTTTGCCACTTTCCCCTCACACACTTTCCTTTAGACAGGGTTTCATGAACCAAACACACTGCACATATTGCGAATTAGCTCCTTTTGTGTGTTTATGCCAGTACTGGGACTTGAACTCAGGGCCTGGGCACTGCCCCTTAACATTTTTGCTCACAGCTGGTGCTCTACCACACCTCCAACTCTAGCTCTTTGGTGGGAAATTGGAGAAAAGAGTCTCATCAACTCTTCTGCCTGGGCTAGCTTCAAACCTCTATCCTCAGATCTTACCCTCCTGAGTAGCCAGGTTGACAGGCGTGAGCCTCAGGCGTGAGCTGGGAAGAGGGTTTTCATTTTGTTCACTAGTCTCAGTAACCTGAGCGCACTGGGGAAAGACCTGAAGCAAACCCGACTCCCAGCCTTAGCCTGTGGGTGTGGAGAACTTGACTTTTGTCCTCTTGGCCTTGTCCTCCTGGCCTGGTTGCTCTTTCCTAACAGGGTGGTGTCTCAGGGGGAAGTCACAGAGGCTGCTCTGTGAAGGCTTTTTTCCCCCAAGGAAGTCGGATGAATACAAGTGTCTCAGAGACCATTGCCCAGCCTCCCAGAAGAGGCTTGGCTGCCCAGAGCTGGCAAGTGGGCACAGGGGACTGAAGAGCTCAGGTTTGGAAGATAAGAAGTCCTGAAATAAGGCCCCGGGGCAGTGAGGGGGCAGAGCCAAGAGGATGTACCCATTGCCCCTGGCAAAGGAGGAAGGGCTGCTGCAGCAGGTGAGCACCTACTGTTGGACCACGTGCCTCCCTCCTCCAGGAAGCCCAGCGGGGTACCTGTCACACCTTGTCCCAGTAATCAATGAATTTCCAGGCTTCAGGTCACCAGGACTGGGCACTTTTTTTTGGGTGGGGGAGAGGGGGCTTAGGTTCTAACAAACGATGGAATCTTCCCCAAAGGAGATTCAGTCTACACTCAGGGCCGGGGTGTTCTGAGCTTTTTTTTTCACTCAAGGCTGGCACTCAACCACTTGATATACAGGTCCACTTCTGGCTTTTTGGTGATTAATTGGAGATTAGAGTCTGCACGAGCTGGCTTTGAACCCTGATCCTCAGGTCCCAGCCTCCTGAGTAGCTGGGATTGCAGACATGAGCTACCAGCGCCCGGCTCCCACAGCACACTAACGTGTATCAGTGCCAGGGTTCTGTGCACTCTGTCCTTCCTGCACCTCCAGGGACCCCGTTCCCAGAGGACGGAGAGGCACCAAGGCCATGTAACCTGTCGGAGATCAGGTCACACAGCGGTCGGTGAAGCCGGCCATGCCCGCCCAACAGATAGGCCGCGGGGTTGCATGCTGCTGGGGCTCGCACAGCCCCTTGCAGGCCTACCCAACCCCCGCAGCAAACACGCGATGCTGGACCTGCCGGATCACAGGAAGGGATCAACTGGAGCCCGAGGGCTGGAGGGTCCTCCGGGCCTTCCGGACCCAGCGCCCCTGGAGAGCACCAGGCCAGGGGGAGGCGGGAACTCTGACGGTGGGCCAATGGCTTTGCAGAGGCGGAGCCTACGGACGCGAAGAGGGCGGGGCCAGAGGACGGACCCGGTGGTAAGAACCACCAATAGAAATGCAAGAGCGGGTGAGTAGCGCCTATGGAAGGGCCGGACCGGTGAGCGATAAGCCAATGAGAGCTCAGGATCAGGGGTGGAAGGCGGAGAAGACGTAAGGGGCGGGGCATCGGGACAATGACTGCGCGGGGGCGGGGCCGGCGGGCGGGCGGGGGCGCGGAGGGGGCGGCGGCGGCGGCGGCGAACAAAGAGGCGGCGGGCGCGGGCGGCCGAGCGGAGCCGAGCGCAGCCGAGCCGGGCCGAGCCGGGCCGAGCCGGGCCGAGCCGAGCCGGGCCGGGCCGGGCCCAGCAGCGCGCGGGTGATGCGGGCGTCCAGGCGGGGGTCGGCGGGTCCCTGAAACCCCGCGCCCGGGGAAGGCGAGGGAGCCCCGCGCAGCGGCGCGGCGTCGGGCCCGCCATGGCCGGGGTCAGCTACGCGGCGCCCTGGTGGGTGAGCCTCCTGCACCGGCTGCCCCACTTCGACCTGCGGTGGGAGGCCACCAGCAGCCAGTTCCGGCCCGAAGACGCCGACTACCAGCAGGTGACACGCGCCCCCAGGGTCGGGGTCCCAAGACTCCCCACTTCCAGGCAGGGTCCCCTCCATCGAGGGTCCAAACCCTGCGGCCTCGGTCGAGGGTCCTCACCCCCTCCAGCTTCTAATGGGGGGGTCCTCACCGCTTCCAGCCTCTATCGAGACTCCTCACCCCCTTCCGGGCCTCCCCCGAGGGTCCCCCCCACCCCCGGCTTCTCCAAGGCCCCCTGTGTGGTTGGTGGATCCGGGTGCGTGGAGACCTAGTCCTCCATCCTTGGGGGTCCGCCTGGTGCTGATCCCCAGCAGATCCCACCCCCCTCGCCTTCTCCCCGGGGACTCCAGGGCCCCCCACCCCCCCTGGGGCCAGAGCTCAGCCCAGGCAGGAGTGCGGGCAGGAGGGAATTCCTCATCCAGTCCTTTGGCCCCGGCTTGGGGAATCCCTGCCAGGCGTTTGGTGGGTGAGTGGTCTGGGCAGATGCCAATCCTCTGTGGCTGGTAATGACCCCCTGTTCCTCGGTCAGCCTGTGGCGTGTGCACACAGTGCGGTGTGTAGCTGTGGGAGACCTGGCTGCCAGCAGGCGGGGAGGGGAGGGAAGGGAGGCCAGGCTGCAGGGAGACAAGACAAGAGGGCTGCAAGGAGTGCCAGCAAGGGGCTGAGCAGTACAGAGCTGGGGGCCTGGGGCCCCTCTCAACCCCTCTCTCAGCAGAGCCCCAGGCTCGGGTCATGCCAAGCCCTGGTGCCACTACATTCTCACTTGAGTGTAAGGCAGGAGACCAGGCTGTGGACTTTTCCTTCCTGCTTGGGGATCCCGATTACAGAAGCAGGGAGGGGAAGGGGGGGGGGGTTGGGGGGGTGTGTGAGACCAGGCCTCCCAATCTCCCCAAGCAGTTCAGGGTTTTCCTGGGTGATCATGCAGATCCCCACAGTGGCCTGGGAACACACTGTTCCCAGGCTGTGTGTCACCTCACCAATTCTGCCCCAGGCAGCCTCTCTTATCCAGAGGAGGAGAACCGGAAGTGGAGGGTGCCTGAGAACTGGCTGCGCCTCCAACTCCCCCTCCATGCCCCCCCCAACCTGGGGCCACCAGCTGATTGAGTCCCTAAGCCGATTAGAAAGAGGGCCAGGGATTGGCCTAGGCATGCAGGCTCAGAAACAGCGGGGAGGCCTCTGCGTGAATATCTGCCTTGAGCTTTTGGCCCCATTGCTGGTTCTGAAGGTGATAACCTGGAGCCACCTGGGTTACTGATGGCTGTTTCCTGTGGCCTGTGGGGAGCCACCTGCGTGTGGGGGCAGCAGCCAGGGCCTAGATTCCACCACAGGTGGCAAGGAGGGAAGGGGACCAGGTATCTGTGGGTGGCCCATGGGGATCTGGGGGTGCTGGCCAGACTCTTCTGCTCTGCTGGCCCCTGGTAGGGCCCTGAGCCCTAGCAGGGTCTGCTCTGCCCCTTTGCTGCCCCGCTCCACTCCTCTCCACCGTGGGAGGGCTCTGACTCACTCTCCTGCCTTCTCTCCGAGGAGCAGAATTAGCCACTGAATAATTCACGGTGTGGAAAGCAACCTGTCTCCGTCCCCCGCCGCCGCCTCTGCTCCTGACGTGGGTCTGTGGACATGCCTCCTGCCCCTGCCCTCCTCATGGCCAGAGCTTTTTAGGCGGGGGCTTGATTTCTCTGGGCCTCTTCACATTATCCTGAAACAACAGGGCTGCTTGGGGTGGGGGAGGGGTGGGAGCAGAAGGGCCCTTCCTGGATGCATGGGTGGGCCCAGATGTGCGTGAGGCTTGTCCTGCCTCTGAGATGAGGCTGGCTGGGAGACTGGGGGAGGGTCCATGAGGTAGTGAACCCTGGCTTATCCTGACCTGGGGAGACTAGAGATGCTTGGAGTGGAGACCACTGGGTCTCCTTCTGGGATCTTTGCTTCCTTTATTTCCTATTCATCCTCACACCCCACCATTAACCCTGGGTCTGCTCACAGTCTGGCTCAGTCTGGCCTCAGCAGTTCAGGGCAGGCCAGTTACTGCCAGTTGATGATGGAAAACCTTTATGGGGCTGGAAAAGGGACTGCAGGGGCCCAGCAGTCTGGGAAGGCTTCCTGGAGAAGGTGTTTGCCTGGCAGGCCATGGAGTCTCTTCCAGCTAGGTGGTCTGCTGAGGTCAGCCCGTCTCCTGATTGCTCCAGGTACCAGGCTAGCCCTGGCTTGCAGGGGGCCTTCCAGGTAGTAGGTAATGCTTACCTTGGGTACATAATTACCCAGCCCTGAGTGCTCAGTTGTTTAGTAAGATTTAAGTGGTGGGAAGAAAATGTTAGTAAGAAGAACATGTGCAAAGGCCCTGAGGCAGAGAAGCCTGAGTGTGAGCTCAGTGCAAGGGAGAGGCCCTCTCTATCCACATGGCACGGGGGAATGTGCTGCCCACAAGCTCAGTGTGACTACGCAGAGGGCTCTGGGCTCTGGTTGAGTGGTTTCCTAGCAGAGACTGGAACCAGTTGGTAAGAGCAAAGCCCCTGGGTTACAAGGTCAGTGGCAGGCCGGTGACAGAGCAGCCACGTCTTCGGCCCTCAATGTCATCCTCTCCACTACTCAGGAAATGAGCTCTGGCTAAAACAGCAGCCTTATCGCCTGTCTTCAGCTTACCGAGGCTGGGCACGTTCAATGGGAGCACAATGGAGCCCTCTGGCTGGAGTCGGCCACATCTGTGGGGTGGGCACCACTTGAAAGCAGAGTCCCGCTGTATGCTTTCTGGCTGCGACTGCTGTCGCCGCCTTCCCCTCCTCCTCCTCCTCCTCCCCCTCTCCCTCCTCCTTCTCCTCCGCCTCCTCCTCTTCCTCCTCTTCCTCCTCTTCCTCCTTCTCCTCTTCCTTCCTTTTCTTGATGGCACTGGGGTTTGAACCCAGCGTCTTGAGTGACTGTACCACACCGCCCAGCCCTTCGTATTTATTTTTTGCTTTAGTTATCTTTCAGGTAGTTATTTCTCATTCTTAGCCTCAGCCAGCCTGGGCTTGGATCCTCCCACTTACTCCCCCAAGTCGCTGGGGTGCCAGGCATATACCACCACACCCAGGTTTGTTTAGTTTTTTTAAATTGAGATAGGTCTCATTAAATTTTTGATGCAGTTGGGCTTGAACCATGTCCTCCCTAATTTATGCTTTGCCAGTGGCTGGATGACAGGCATGAGGAGCTGTGCCCGGCATGCCATCTGCTTATTAGACATGCTGTAGTTTAGATGTGTTTGTGGCTTTGCTTCCAGATGTTCCCCCTCCCCCAGTACCCTACTATGACGGTCACTATCCTGAAGTTGCTAGTGACAAGCACCCCAGAGAGCCTTGTGGAAGCTTCTAGAACAAGCCACAGGTGGGCAGGAGCTGATGGACTAGGCACTGGTGGGGATGCAGAGCTGGGGCTTGACACTGGTGAAGCAGGGAAGGTCCAGCTAAGTCCAGTTGCTCTGCGTTTGTCTATCATGGTTGGTGCTGAGTCCAGGGGAGAATGCAGAGGCCTAGTTTGGTTGGTGCCACTTAGTGGCAGGAATAGATGAGGCTGCAACTCCCAGAGCTCCCTGTGCACTCCCTCGTGGTGTGTGTGTGTGTGTGTGTGTGTGTGTGTGTGTGTGTGTGTGTGTGTGTGTGTGTGTGTGTGTGAAAGGGAGGTAGCACCACCCTCAGCCCTACCCTGGAGCTGTCCTGGTCTTCAGCTGTGTGGTGGCCTGGCTTTTGAGACTGAGAGGAGGCAGTGGCCAACTCTGGGCCCACGAGCACTCAGGCCTCTGATCACAGTCCTGTGCCCTGAGTCTTCCTGGAGAAGAGAAGTCTTTGGGAAAGCTTCTGCTGGCTGGGGATGACAGTGTCTGCCTGTAATCTCAACACTCAGGAGGAACTGCAGGGCCCCCTGCCCACTTCTGGGATTGCTTGGCCTTCCTAGTCCAGATCTTGGGCTCCTCTCGCAGAGATCCTCCCTGCCTCCTACTCTTGGCTGGGGCCCCAACTTGTCTAACCCATGCTCTGTTACCTGGGCCTTGGTCAGACTGAACCCCAGGCCCCTGCCCAGGGAGCTTTGTTAGTGTGTCTGTGCTGCACTGTCCAGGATGGCAGCACAGTGTCCCTGGTAGGTGGACACTGACTGTGGCCTTGGACCAGGGCTGTGGCTCCAGCTCGTGCCTGCTCCTCTACCCATGGACTGGACTTGAGTTCAGGGCTATGCCCTTCCCCCATGGGCTCTGCTGAGGCCCAGGAAGAGGAACCCAGGCCTCAGCACAGGGCCTGGGGTCAGCAGAATGGGAAGTGCCAGCCAGAGGAGGGACTGGTCACATGACACCTAGCCCTGCCAGGAGGTGAGGATGCAAGCCCAGCATGGACCCTGGGCACTGTGCCGTGTCACCCACTCCGCCTGCTGGAGGCCCCCTCATCTGCAGGGCAGCAATGCCCATGTGCTGGGACGTGGCCTGTCTTAGAGCTGGACCTCCAGCCAGTGCTTGGTGACAGCCAGTCACAAGCTGCTTTTGTTCTGTCCACAGCCAGGAGAGGGCGTGGGGCACCTGGAGAGGCATGGCCCAAGGCCTGCCTGCCCAAGGCCCGATTCCTTCTATTCTCAGAGCCCGCCTTCATGCACACCTGCACAGCCGCTCTTGCTTGGCCCTCAGTTGGCACATCCTCCCCCTGCCCCCTCCTGTTAGGACCTGAGGCCTGACCCAAAGGAACGGGCTGGCATGGCATGGGGCATTGCCCACTTTGTTAGGCCAGGCAGCCATCTGGTCCTTCCTTCCTCTGAGGAGGGTGCCAGGCCCAGTACGCCCATGCTCCACTGTCCGCCTTGGGATGGGTTCCTCACCATTGTGGGGGGTCCCTTGAGAAGTCTTGGGGTCTGAGGCCCGGGGCCTGTCCCCAGGGTGGCCAGGTGTGCAGCAGCGCAGGCAGATGCAGATGCTCATGGTGAGGGCAGGGTGGTGTGGGCTGTAGGGGGGCTGGGGTCCCTGTACTTGAACTGGCTCCAGGCTTGTGGGAGGGCAGGGGTGGGGGGGAGGCCATTCCAGGAGGGTGTGAACACGAGCAGTCCGTGCAGAAAGTTTTAGGGCTCTGCTTTCCAGTCCCCACAAGACTACCGGCAGCCGTACTTTGTCCAGGCCCCACCAAGAGCTCACAGTCATGGAATTCATGAAACGCAAGCCTGGCCCGTGGAAAATCTGTTTTTAATTTCTGGCCTGCGTGGCTGGGAGCCTCTGCCAAGTGTGTTGGGGATGGGGGCTGGGGTTCCACAGCAAGCCGGGAACCTCAGCAGCCTGGGCTCGGCAAGCAGGTCTCTCTGCAGGCTGGTGGCTCCCCATAGAAGGGTCAGCCAACCTCCTAGCTGCCAGTGCTAGCTACATGTGCTGCTGCCCACCGGTGGCCAGTGACCCCCAGACTCGGGGCTGTGGGGGTAACTTGTGCAGGCGGGGCCAGCCGTGTGTCTGCAGTGCTACCCCAGGTGAGGGCTCAACGCTGGGGGCTTCTCTGCTCCCCTTTTCCTCTGGTGGCCCAGGATACGAGTGGGGTGCACTGCTCAGACACCCAACCTTGTGTCTTCTAGCGGATCCAGGACTGCTGTGGGAACAGCCCACGGCAGATGGAGGGCCCACTACCCTTCCCTCAGCCCTCCCGTGTGCGTCATCACACCCACTGTGGTAATGCGGTGCTGCCAGGCCACTCCCTGGGCACTGCTGGCACTGGGTCCTGGCACACGGCTCATTTGAGCTCTGCCCTCCTAGAGTGCAGCGCCCCCCCCCTCCCCCCAGCGAGGACGCTGTGGATCAGCCTGCTGCAGGGGTGGGAGGGCCTGCAGACTACTAGCTGCAGACTGGCAGGTGTGGGGATTCTCCCCTGCTGCAGGCATGCAGGTGTGACTTGGTGTGTTTGTGGCCCCCCCTGCTGGTGGCCAGCAGTATGACAGTGGTGCTCATACCTGCCTTCCAGTAGGGCAGCTATCTGTGTGACAGGCACACTCAGCCTGTGTTCTTCCAGCCAACCACAGCTAGGGTTTCTAGGCAGAACCACAAACTCCTCCGCCTTCAGCTTAGGCACTGGCTGCCCAAGGTGAGCCCACTCCCTGCTCTCAAGAATGTGCTGGTGCTGAGCCTAGTCTTATGTGGGTGAGGTGCTAGCAGTGGCGGACAGGTACCATGCCCAGGGACCACAGGAAGTAGAGCAGCATGGAGAGGAAGTGTTAGGCCCCAGTGGGTGCAGGCAGCACCAGGTGGCCTATCTTTGCCCTTCCTGTCCGTGCGGTGGAGCCTCCCACTCCTGTCCCACATCCCTGCCAGGCCTTACAGCTCCAGCCACTGAATGTGCCATGCCCGGACAGCCATATTCTTTCACCTGTGCCTGCACCCCTCCACCAAGACTTCCTGTACTCTTAACACCCAGGGTGTGGCAGGGAGCAAGGGGTCCTAATCTTCACCGTGTCCCAAGTCAGGGACGCAGGGCCCAGTTCTAGGCCCTCAGACCTGTGAGACCCCAGAGGCCCAGCCTGGGCTACGCCCAGGTTCAGGGCGGGTGGTCGGCCTGCGCAGTCCTGCCTGATGGAGCCCGGATGGAAAGTTCCATGTAGTCAGCTCCGTGCTGAGGAGGCATTTTCCATCCTTGTCCTGAATGGGTCTGGGGACAGTGGTGGCTGTTCCAGCACCTATCCATCAGCCGGGCCCCCGTGGAATGCATCCTCCAGGGACCTGGCTGCAGTCCCAGCCATGGTCATTGGTCATGCCTGCCGTGACACTCTTCACAGCGCCCAGGCTGACCTGTGGGGCTGAATCAGGCTGGCCTGGTAGAGACCTGGCCACCTGGCTCCTGCCTCAGGGCCTCATCTATTGTGCCAGCCCATCTGGTAAGCATGGGTCCTGCTGGAGAGAGGGCTGCCCAGACATGGAGTTGGGAGTGGGGTGGTGGAGGGGCTTCAGTTTACCTACAGTGAGGCTGAATCCCTCTGTGTGCAGGATCCTGGGGGTAGCCATGGCTTCAGCAAGGTTGGTATGGGCAAGATAGCATTCCAATCACTGCCTGCATGGCTTCGGTGACTCTGGTGCCCTTGGGTGACACCTCCCCCCCTCCCCCCAAGTCCCAGGACACATTCCTTTCTGTTATCCTCTTTTTGGAGATAATTCTTCCTGTGTAGGCCAGGCTGGTTTTGAACTTGTGGTCTTCTTGCATTGGCCTTTAGCCTGGCCCCAGGACATTGCTCCCCTCAAGTACCTATGCTTGGGGTTTCTTGGGGCTGGCCCTGGCCATGCCATATTCCTCAGTGGGGAGTCCTTTGTCCCTAGCTGTTGGTGTTTGCAGATGTCTGGGGGCTCAGAGCCTGTGGAGCGTGGAGGCTCCATGTTCCCATGGCTGTGACTGAGCAGGCGCATGCACGTGTGAGCACCTGCCGTGGGTGGAGACATGTCAGGTGCAGCAGCACGGGGCGCCCTCAGAGCTGTGGAGCTGGGCCCTGCCCCACCCAACCCTGTGGAGGCCGGGTCTGCAAAGGTGCTGCTCAAAGCTTTCCTCCCATTGGCTCAGCTCTCATGACCCTAGTGGAGAAAGACGCAGCCTCACGTTCCTACCCAGCCCTGTGTGTTACAGCGCCCACCACCTGGGGGCAGGCTGTCTGTCATGAAGGAGCTGACCAGTACCAGCACATCTAGCTGAGGGACCGCCTCTATGGTCCATGGCCCTTCTATCTTCCAGCCGTTTCTGTAGGTTACCTATGGTGAAATTTAGCTGGCTCCCTGCAGGTGCCAGGCACCTAGTGGCATATGTAATCTGAGCTCCATGCTGCTGGGGTCCCCACCATCCCAGGTCCCATTATCTTAGGTCTCTGTTTTCCCATCTGGCAATGGGAGTATGTGCTCCCAGCACATGGAGGAGAAAAACCAGACTGGGAGCATTGCTGTGTCCTGTGAGCAGTTGGACAGCCCGGCCCTGCCGCTGTCAGAGCCTCCTGTGCAAAATCCAGGAGGGGTTTTCCTGGTGTGTATGTGTTCTAGATGTGGAGTAGAGGTGTCAGGGAATGAGCTGGCCCTGGGAGGGCTCACTGAAGGGACCTGGCCAGTGCGGGGCCAAGATGGGGCTGGGCCATGCCCAGCTGAGAGCAGGTGAGGGGACATTGCAGTTGGAACACTAGTGTTTATTGACAGCCACTGTGCGGGGCCTGGCACTGGGGTACAGGACTGTCAAGGCCCTCGTTACCAGGTGACTGGCTTCTGGCCTGTAGTTAGTGCCTGATTCCATCTCCACTTCTGCATGTGCCACGGTGGCCCCTCTGGACCGAGCACCTAGGGCCTAAGGGAGCCCTGGGCTCAGGAGGTGACAACTCTCTCCCCTCCCCCTCAGCCTGCCAGTGCAGCCAGCTGTAACTTCAGCCTCCTGGTGGCGTCCAAGCCTTCTCCTGAGGGCCCCCTGTGTGGGCAGCTCAACCCCCCCGGGCAGCAGTGTGGCTTTGGACTGTGAAGGTTCTGTTCCTGGCTCACACTGGCTGGATATGCAGGTTCTGGTCAGCTCCTTCATGGCAGGGCAGAAGGTGAACAGGCTGCCTCCATGGGTGGAACTAGATGACTTTAGGGAAAGCAGTGTCTGCCACCTTCTGCCTGGCAACTGTCTCCTGGGTGACAGCCCACTGGGGACCAGCACTGCTGATCCAGGACCTCTTGTCTCAGTGGGTCCCAGCAGGGGGCATTCTGCCCCAACAAGTCCCCATGTTCAGGCTTTGGGGACAGCCAGCTACCCTCTCTCCCACAAGGGCTGCATTTGAATGTAGGGATTTGGGGCCTGGTCCTTTCTCTGCCTTCTCAGCAGCTTATTTGCTGGTGAAGCAGGTGGCCAGGCAGACTGAAAAGTGCTGTGCCCAGGGGGAGAGGACTAGTACCATCCCTCTCCCACAGCAGGGCTCCGGGAATCTTGCTGTGTATGCAATGCATCCTCTTCTGTGGGTGCCAGCCTGGAGAGGAGGGGAAAATCTGCCATGTCCCAAGGGAACACAGCACCAGAGCCAGGGTGCCAAGGGGGAATGCCACCTGCACCTGGCCTGGTGTCCCCAGGACTTCCTGATGTGTGAGTGGTATGGGGGGGCCTGCCCTTTCTCATCAAGTATAGTTGAGTGCCGCAGGCAGTGCCCAGCCCTCAGTCCTACACTGGCTCAAGAGCTAGCCCTCCCATGCGAGCCCCCAGATGTTTGTGGACTGGCCACTTAGACTAATCAGCCAGGCAGCGCTCACCTCTCCCTGCCTAACAGCCCCGGAGACCTCTACATTGCCCTCACATGCTGGCTGGGGGGCAGTGGTCCTTCCCAGGACTGAGGGAGGAGAGGTGAGGAGCAGCCCCAAGCTGGTGGCAGGACAGGGAACCTGGCTCTGTGGCTGCGTGCCACCCTGGGTGTGTGCTTGGGGCCTAGTGTGGCACTGACCCTAAGCCCCCTGCTGGGGACACCCCTCCCTCCATATCCTTGGGGCATGCATGGAAGCCTTGATGGAGACCTGGAGCTTGTACGCTGGCCTGCCCACATGGAGTTTGAGTTCTGATACACAGTGCAGTTGAAGGTACAAGTCCAGGGTGGCCACCAGACCTTTACCTCCCAGGCCCCCGGGTGCAATGCATTGGCCTGTGCATTGAGTGGGCAGGCATGGAATTTTCTGTCCCTGTCCCACGTGCTGAGGCCCTCTAACGTGCTTGTGCCCTCCCCTCCCTCAGGCACTATTGCTGGTAGGGGCCGTGGCCCTGGCCTGCCTCGCCCTGGACCTCCTCTTCCTTCTCTTCTACTCCTTCTGGCTGTGCTGCCGGCGGCGCAAGAGCGACGAGCACCTGGACGCGGACTGCTGCTGCACCGCCTGGTGTGTCATCATTGCCACGCTAGTCTGCAGGTGAGCCTGCTGGGGGGAAGGAGGGGAGGGACAGGGGAGCGGGCAGGGCCCTGCTGCTGCTACTACTTGCTCACCGCTCTGCCTTCTCCAGCGCTGGCATCGCAGTGGGATTTTACGGTAATGGTGAGACCAGTGATGGCGTCCACCGGGCCACCTACTCGCTCCGACACGCCAACCGCACTGTGTCAGGGGTCGAGGACCGCGTGAGTGGCTGCAGGGTTAGGGTTTGGGGGTGGCGGCATCTTCCCCATGCCAGGCCTCCGCTCTGGCCTGGGCCCCTGGCCTCAGCTGCGGCTGGTTCCCCCACAGGTGTGGGACACTGTGGCAGCCCTGAACCGCACAGCAGAGCCCAGCCTGCAGAGCCTGGCGCGGCAAATGGCCGGGAGGCCTGAACCCCTGAGAGCTGTGCAGCGGCTGCAGGGCTTGCTGGAGACGCTGCAGGGCTACACAGCGGCCATTCCCTTTTGGAGGAACCCCGGCGTGTCGCTGGAGGCTCTGGCCGAGCAGGTGGATCTCTACGACTGGTACAGGTGCGCCGGGGTTCCCGTCCTCCCTGGATGGCTCACTGCGCCTGGGCCGTGAGGCGTCCTCAGCACCTAGCTAGTACCTGAGACATAATGGGTGGTGGGCAGCACAGCTGGAGGTCTCTGACAGTGGATGCCAGGCCCCGGGCCCCAGTTTCCTGTGAATGCCCTTCCTGGCCACCCAGCCTGACCCCACCATCTAGTCCCCCTCTGTACCTGCCCACGCCCTGTGTGCCGGCAGGTGGCTGGGCTACCTGGGCCTGCTGCTGCTCGATGTGATCATCTGCCTCCTGGTGCTGGTGGGCCTCATCCGAAGCTCCAAGGGCATTCTGGTCGGGTGAGTCTAGGGGCACCTGTGGGCCGCAAGGCAGAGGGGCAGGGTGAGGCACCGGCACACAGTCACCCCCATCAGCTCTGTGGTCTGAAGTGTGACCCCACACTGCCTGAGGAGGGGGTTCTTGTGGAGGGGGCTACTCTAAGACGTCCTTGCTATGTCCTGCCTCGCTGGCCACTTGCTGCAGACTGGACTCAGCTCAGCTGCCCGTTGGGTTCCTTCCCTGGGAGACTCTGAGAGTCTACCACCTTCCCAGGGCCCCAGGTACTGAGGGACTCCCCCAGGCCTCCATCCCTGCTCTGCTACCCCCTGCGCTGCTGGGGTGGGGCAGGTGGCACAGTAAGCTATGGAGCTCCCCTGTCTCCTCCTCTGTAAGACGGCAGGAGTGACAGCTTGCCCACAGCAGTTAAGTGCTGAACACCTGCATAGCCACCTCCCAGGCTCTCGGAGAGTCCAAAGAACACCCCAGGCCCTGCCGTGTGTAGCTGAGCGAAGGATGAGTGGCCAGCTGTACAGAAGGTCAGGTGACAACACCCTGGAGGAGAAGAAGCAGGGCAGGCAGCACAGCTGTCTACAACTTGCATGTTTCACCTAAGAGCTCCAAAATGGAGAACTTGGAAGGATGCTAAGTGGTTAGTTTATAGGTCTGCAGAGGAACTGGGCAGCAGAGGGGCTCAGAAGGCCTCTCTGGCTGGACTAAAGGGAACTAGAAGGTGGTAGCGGTGAAGAACTGATCCCACAAATCTTGGGGCTCTGGGTGAAGTCCAGCAGTGTTGGAGATCCTGGTCTGGCCCAGGTCAGTGAGCCCCTGAGGCTCATGCTCGTTTGGCCTCTGTGAGATGAAAGCAGAGAGGAGGTCTAGTGAAGAGAAGACGCCAGGAAAAGCTGGAGGACAAGGCGGTGAAACCCACAGAGTTACCTGGCCTTTAGCCAAGTCCAGGCCCACTCTGCAGCCCCAGTGCTGAGCTGGCCAGGCCGTGCCCCAGCCTGGTTCTGCCCAGGCATTGAGCCTGAGGCATCCGTGACAGAGCAGGCCACTGGAAAAGCCACAGTCCCTGTGATCCAGACCCCCAGATGTGTTCAAGAGCCTGGCGCCCTCTTCTACAGCCCAGTGTGTGACATATCCCTTTCCCCCAGCCTGGGGGCTGCTGACTGCTCTTCTTTGCCTCAAGGGTCTGCTTGCTGGGGGTCCTGGCCCTGGTCATCAGCTGGGGTGCACTGGGCTTGGAGCTGGCTGTGTCTGTGGTGAGTGGCTGGGGGACTAGCAGTCCCTGTCTGTTGGGCTGTGGTGTTAGGGGAGGGGAACCACACTCCTGGGTACTGCCCATCCATGTCTCTAGATTCACAGACCCTGGGGTCAGTTTGTACCCCCTTCCCAGGGTCAGTTTGTAGCCTAGGGTGAGTACAGATTCCCTCTGAGGCCCAACTTGGTCACCCCCTCCCTGCCTGTATGCACCACAGGGCTCCAGTGACTTCTGCGTGAGCCCTGACACCTACGTGACCAAGGTGGTGGACGAGTACACTGTGCTGAGTGGGGGTGAGTAGCCAGGCAGTGATGCCCCTGCGTACCACACGGGAGTCATTGAGACAGCCTCCCATGCAGTGCTTGTGAGGAAGCAGATAGACCAGCTGGGCCAGGAGAGGGTGGAAAGGCAGCAGGACCTGGTCCTGGGCGTCAGGGCTTTGCTCTGTGGAGGAAGCCTTTAGACTGGGAAAGGGCAGGCGTGAGTCAGGATGCAACATCCTTCTAAAGGCTTTTTCTGAGTCTGGTTGTGGTGGTGGTACACATCTGTCCCCCAGGACACTGCTCCTCCTCACACACGAGCACACACGTGCACACGTGCTAGCACAGGAGGCATGCACGCATGCAGACCTGTACTTGCACGCAGACACACATACACTGGCCGCCCCTCATCCCGCTCCCCCTGTCTCTGCAGACATCCTGCAGTACTACCTGGCCTGCTCACCCCGTGCCGCCAACCCCTTCCAGCAGGTGAGAGGTGGGCTAGTCTGGGGCTTGGGTGCAGGGGACATACAGAGAGGCCAAAGCACTTGTCCATGGGGAGGTGGGGCAGGCCCGGCTCTGTCTCCAAGCCCACACAGCCAGCATTCTGGGTGGATGGTGTGTCACTCACTGCTCTATACTTGCTACCCTAGTGACCTGCTTGATGCCACTGCCTCCCTGGCATGGCTCCTTTCCTTCCTAAGGGGACAGAGACAGAGCTGACCACTGAGCACAGGCAGATACGGGAGGAGTCCCGGGAAGCCTTTGAGCAGGTGCCCGTTGGAAGGGGTTGGCAGCCCTGACTAGTCACACCCTTTGCCCTCAGCCTATCGTGCTCCTGAGGGTCTTTTAAGACTTACCTGTCTAGGCTAGGCTTAGTGGTGCATACCTGTAATACCAGCAATTGGGATTTGGGAACTGGAGGCCAGCCAGAGCTTGATGCAAAAGTTGCCTGTGTTGAGAATGCCCATTCGCTCTCTGGCACTACTGGGGGGGTCTCCAGTGCGGAGACTGCGGGGGAGCAAAAGTGCCCTCGCAGCTGCCCGTGTGCAGGAGGGTGTGGGACGAGGGACATGGTGGCTCAGCCACTCAAAGCCAAGCCTTTCTGTGGAGCAGAAGCTGTCGGGTAGCCACAAGGCGCTGGTGGAGATGCAGGACATTGTTGCCGAGCTGCTGAAGAGTGTCACTCGGGAAAACCCAGCCTCCAAGGTGAGGAGCTGGGGGAGCAGGTCACCCTGACTGGGTGAGGGACTATGGGTTAGGGTGCCCTGATTGGCTGAGGAGACGGAGGGCGGGGCACCCTGATTGGGTGAAGGGCTGCAGAAGAGGCATCCTGATTGGATGAGGGGTTGTGGGGCAGGGTGCCCTGATTGCTCCTCCACCTTTCCCTCCCATTCTTTTTCCTGGGGATTTCTGATAGGCCCTTAAAGAGGATGGTGCTGGTTATACTGAAAATCTTACAGACGCTTTACATAGAAAATAAAAGACCAGCTTTTAGGGTGGCATTTGGCATCTAACAGGCCTAGGCCCCCAAAAATCTCCCTAATGTCCCTGCAGGCAGTGCCTGGTTCCAGGGATAGCAGAGAGCAAGTCTCATGGGCTCTGCCCCAGGGGAAACAACAGAGTTTTCTCTGTGAAACTTCACAAACAAACAACAAACCAGGCTAGTGGTACATGCCTGTAACACCAGCTACTTGGGAAGCAGAGATCTGGAAGATCAAGTTCCAGGCCAGCCCAGGCAATAATTTCAGTCAACCAAGTGAGCAAGTGTAAATAGGCTCCCAGTCTTGGCTGCCCCCCACCCCAGGTTAGGGGAGATCCTACTTGAGAAAAAACTAATGCAAAAAAATGGCTGGGAGTTGTCTCAAGTGGCAGACCCTCCTGCCTAGCAAGTGTGACGCCCTGAGTTCAAACCCCAGTGCTTGCCATTAAAAAAAAAAAAAAAAGCAAAGCAAGCCAGCAGGTTCTTTGCTTTGATTTTATGCTTTGCCTTGTGGGTCGGTGGGCACACAGTCTGGGCCCACGAGCACTGGCTTCCCGTGTCCTTAGGCCATCCCCTGTGCAGCTGCATTCTGATCTTTCCTTGTAAGGATTCCACTCCCTCCCACCAACCTCTAAACAGTAGGGCTCTGGGATGGGGCTTCAGCGCATAGGTTTTAGGGACCACTCTTTGCTGGTAACAGGAAGCTCTCCATTGGAGGATCACAGTGGTGCTTAGAATCTGTGCTGCTGCTGGCAGCACTGCATCCATCACTTGCCCAGCAGGAGCTGTATCAGCCCAGAGGGGCTGGGCCATGTCTCCATGGTTGTCTCTGTACATGTGTGCATATGTGCACACATGGGCTGTACACACACATATGCACTTGAGCCACACCTTTAGTACTTTTGCATTTTTTTTTTTTTTTAGCTTGTCTCTAAGAGTTTTGCCTAGGCTGTTCAATCGTCCTTCTTACCTCTGCTTTCAGAATAACAGGGATTACAGGTATACACCACTATACCCAAACGGTTGCCAATTCTGAAGGCCCAGGGTCCTCAGGGCCTGTGCTTGAGACTGGGGTCAGGTGGCCTCGGCAGCAGGTTACAGGCTAGAGGAGTAGCTTGGAGGCTTAGCAGCAGGCTACAGGCTAGAGGGGTGGCTTGGAGGCTTAGCAGCAGGTTACAGGCTAAGGGGTGGCTTGGAGGCTTAGCAGGAGGCATGGCACTGACCTCACGTGGTGCCTGCCCCCCAGGACCACCTGCTCCGAGTCCAGGAGGTGCTGAACGGCACAGAAGTGAACCTCCAGCACCTCACAGCCCTGGTGGACTGCCGCAGCCTGCACCTGGTGAGGACCACTGTGGGGAGCGGGGGGGGGGGGGGCTGCTGGGGAGGGGTAGCTCAACTCCGAGGCTGGGCCAGGAGGCCACTGTGGCCAGGCATGGGCCTTGCAGGCCGGCCTCACCTGCCTGCCTCTAACTTTCTTTCTCCCATCTCTGGTGTGGTGCCTCGCCCATGCTGGCCAGGACTACGTGCAGGCGCTCATGGGCTTCTGCTACGACGGTGTGGAGGGCCTCATCTACCTGGCTCTCTTCTCCTTCGTCACGGCTCTCATGTTCAGCTCCATCGTCTGCAGCATTCCCCACACCTGGCAGCAGAAGAGGTGAGCCCCCACACGTCCAGGAGGGGGCAGCCTAGTCCCCAGAGGAGACAGAAAAACACACCCTTGTGTGTTCACTGTCTGGGTCTCTAGCACCTCTGAGTCTGGCGGTCCCAGGTGAGAAGAGAAGAAACAGTCTAGAAGAACTCCCAGCCCAGCCTTGCCTGCCCCAGTGCAGGCCTGCAGAGCTCAGGCTGGGAGGACGCTGTGTGGGCTCAGCTTCCACAGGGGGGTCATCTGGCAGCCATGGCCTGGTGGGAACCAGAATATTAACTTGGAAGTTGGAGTGTGGGAGTGTAGACTCCTTTTCTGAGGGCCCCATGCCCAGCTTCCTGACTTTTTCTGTCTCCCTTCCCATGTAGGCTGCTGCTTGTAGCCCAGCATGGCGCCAATAGCTCCAGGCCAATTCCATCCGTCGCACAGCATTGTCACCGCGGCTCTATAGTACAGTCGAGTCAGCGATTTCTGCCTCTGTGCCTGGCCACAGGGCCACAATCTTTCTATGCAGGATTGTGCTTGCTATTTGCGATCTTTTTATGCTTCCGTATGAATTTTTGGATTGGTTTTTCATTTCTTTTATCTTTTATTTTATTTTTTGGTTAGTCACAAGGCTTGAACTCGTGGCCTGGGCACTATCCCTGAGCTCTTTTGCTCAGGCCAGCGCTCTACCACTTTTAGCCACAGCACCACTTCTGGTTCTCTGGTGCTTAATTGGAGATTAGAGTCTCATGGACTTTCTTACTCAGTCTGGCTTCAAACTGGATCTTCAGATCTCAACCTCCTGAGTAGCTAGGATTATAGGCATGAGCCACCAGCACCCTAGCCCTTGGGTTGGGTTTTCTGTTTTTGTAAAACATAACATTGGGACTTTGGTGGGTATTGCGTTGACTTTGTAGATTATTTTTGGAAGTATTGCTGATTTCGTGGTGTTCTGCCCATCTGTGAGCATGGAGGTCCTTCCATCTTCTAGCATTTTCTTCAGTCTCTTTAAGATTTTACAGTTTTCATTGTAGAGATCTTTCACTTCCTTGCTTACGTTGTACCAAGGTATTTTTAGTGTTTTTGAAGTTATTGAGAATGCAATTTTTTTTGTTGTTGTCAATTGTGGGGTTTGAACTCTGGGCCTAGGCACTGTCCCTGAGCTCTTCAGCTCAAGGCGAGTGCTCTACCACTTGAGCCACAGCTCCATTTCTGGCTTTTGGGGGGTTAATTGGAAATAAGAGTCTCACAAACTTTCCTGTCTGGACTAGCTTCAAACTGCGATCCTCATAGCTCAGCCTCCTGAGTAGTTAGAATGGCAGGTGTGAGCCACTGGTACCTCGCCAAAGCTACTGATTTCTCAGTGTTGGTTTTATTTTCTCCTCTGTTACCAAAAGTGTCTATCAGAACTAGAAGGTTTTGTGGCATCTGCAGGGTTGGGTTGTTAAATCCAGGAACAAATCATCTGTCAAGAGAGATGGTTTGACTCTTTTTTTAATTGTTCATGGTGCTTGAACTCTGGGCCTGGGCGCTGTCTCTGAGCTCTTCAGCTCAAGCCTAGCACTCTACCACTTGAGCCACAGCACCACTTCTGGCTTTCTGAGTGGTTTATTGGAGATAAGAGTGTCAAGGACTTTCTTGCCCGGGCTGGCTTTGAACCTCCATCCTCAGATCTCAGCCTCCTAAGTAGCTAGGACTACAGGTCTGAACCACTGGCTCCCAGCTGGTATGATGTCTTCCTTCCCTATTTGAATCTCTCTTTGTCTCCCTCCTGCCTTTTTGCTCTGTCTGGGACCTCCCTTGGCCTGGATTGTTTCTTGGTGATACTTGTCATGGAGCTTGTGGTGATTGGGATGAAGCTGGGGGTGGGTGGTAACGGTGGTGGTGGTGTGGCAGGGATGGCGGCAGTGATAGCAGTGCTGTGGTATGTGATGGTACTGAGCAGGAGTGATGTGCTGAGGTGGTGGCAGTGGTGAGGAGGAAGGGCGGTAAGAGCCCAGCTCTGGAAGCCTGTGGCTGGATTCAGATCCTGGCTCTACCTTGCTGATAGTGGGGCTGGGAAAGTTACTTAGCCACCTGGCTTTGATGTCCCTGACTATAAAAGGGGGGGGAGGCTGTAAAAGGACACACCAGGGCCAGGTGATCTGCCATAGGTGAGGGCCCTGCCCCACCCCTGAGGTGCGTCCTGCCTGCAGCCCAGCCCTGCATCCTATCAGGACAGGAGGGCGCCAGCGTGGCAGGGCCTGGCCACAGAGCCAGGGCAGCAGGCAAGGCATGCCAGCTCAGGCCTCTGCAGAGCCAAAAGAGGGCAGCATAGCCTCTGTGCTCAGGGATTTGGGGTGTTTGCACGCTGCTTTCAGCATGCCGATGGTGGGACAGGGCCCAGAGTAGGGCACCGGGTGGTCTCTTAGCACCCGCTCAAAGGCCATGGCTACTGGACTAGTTCCTCAATGTGAACAGCTAGGCCTGGAGCCCATGTCCACATCAGCGCCACCCATGGGCCATGGCCAGCTTCATCCTACGACACTGAGCATGCATCCTGTCCTTCTCACAGGGGCCCTGAGGAAGACGGGGAGGAGGAGGCCGCCCCGGGGCAGCGGCAGGCACAGGACAGCCTGTACCGCGTCCACATGCCCAGCCTCTACAGCTGTGGGAGCAGCTACGGCAGCGAGGCCAGCATCCCGGCCGCTGCCCACACCGTCAGCAACGCCCCGGTCACCGAGTACATGTGAGTACATGTGGGTCCTGGGGAGCCCAGGGGACAGCGGGCCCTGCCAGGCAGCAGGAGGGAGAGGCTGAGGCAGGGCCTGGCTCCCATGGGATGGCCTGTGCGGCCCTGTGGGTGGGCAGGCAGCCAGGGCATAGGTGGGTTCCGGGTGGGCACTGGAGGCTACTCAGCCCATGTGACTCTTCTGGGCTCACAGACCCTAGTGAGAGCAGTGGTGCCAGTCTGTGGAGTTAGATCAGGTGCCAGGCAGAGCCGGGAGCCGGGCAGTCACAGGGACCTCTCTGAGATGGGCCCACTGGCCAGTGGTCACTCACTGTCGCTCTCTCCCCTCTCGCCTCAGGAGCCAGAATGCCAATTTCCAGAATCCCCGCTGTGAGAACACCCCTCTCATTGGGCGCGAGTCCCCACCGCCCTCAGTAAGTCCAGGACAGGGGGTGGGGGGCCCTGGCCTTCCGGGGGGTCTGCTGGTGCTCTCTGGGGTCGCCGTGACCACGGGGGAGTCCCCAGCCAGGGCGTCTGAAGCAGGTGCACCTAGGGGCATCCTGGTTCTCACCAGCCTTGAGGAGCCAGGGGAGAGAGTGCAGAGCATCGCGGCCCCGCGGCCGCGCCGCAGGCCCCCGCTTTCTTGCCTTCATGCTGGACTGCCCAGGGTGGCCTGGCTTCCTTTCCTTCCTTTGCCTGGGTGCCTCAGCCCTGGCTCTTGCAGCCTGGGCCTTGAGATTGGCACAGACACGAGGGGACAGGGTGAACTTGGTGCCAAAGAGGAGCTGGCAGAGCCCGGCTTCCAGGGAAGTGGGCTGCAAGACAGGCTGAGGGGCTGTAGGAGGCCATCTTGCTTCAAAAGCACAGTTGCCTACAGTACAGTGGCTGCTGCCTGGGGTGCCCAGGACCTGTACCAGGGCCTGGTAGGCCCAGAGGCCATGCCAGGCTGCAGGCCCCTGTCAGCACCACCCAGCCGCCCTCCCTCGGCCCCTCTGTCCCATCGTCTCCTGCGGCCGCCGCGCCCTAGCGTTGAGGACGCCTCCTCTCTCTCTCTCTCTCCTGCACCCCTCCCACCCCGGGCCCTCCTAGCGCTATCTGGCTGCCTTGGACTCTGGCAGCCACACGGGCTGGCAATTTAAACCCATGGACAGTGCCCGAACGCTGTGGTAGCTGTGCCCTCAGAGTGACAGGTACTGACACACCCAGTCCCCCCCGCCCCGCACGGCCACCGCCTGCGCCTCCATGCCTCGCACCCTCCGCTCACCACTGCCCCCCACCATGGCTGACTTCAGGCCCCACTGTGCCAGGTCCAGTGCCGACAGTCCAGCACAGCCAGAGACCTCAGGTGTGGGCCCAAGCCCACGGTCTCAGTGCAGCAGTGAGCCCGCGCCAGGTTTCCCTGCCTCCACTCCTGCCCCTGCCCGGCCTCCCTGCCCCCCTCCCCCTGCCCTGGGAGGGCCACGTCCACTGCAGCCGGAGAGCTCCTCCGGAGCTTAAGCATGGATCCCAGCCCAAGGGGCGGTTCTGGTGCAGCACTGCAGGTGGGCCTGCGACGCAGGTGTGCAGATGAGCGTGCACGCTCCTCCCACCATCCCTGCTCAGGGGTTGCTGCCACCCACCGTCCCATTCCACCCTGTGTCCCCTGTCACTGCTGCATGTCCATGGAATGACATGACTCCCCGGCCCACCCTCCTCTCCTGCTCCTCCCTGCTCCATGGCTCATGGGCTGCTTGCAACCTTCTAGTGCCCCAGAGGGCTGCCAGGGACCTGGGGCACATCGGCACACTGCTCAGGGGGCTATGGGAGCAGCCTAAAGTCTGGGGTGTTGGGAGCCCACCTGGGATGGATAAGGCCAGCCTGTCAGGCGCCCTGACCACTGGTGACCCAGGACCAGCCTGGGCCTTTCCCCTTGCCAAGGGCATGTGAATTCTTCACTACTGCCCAGCTTTAGTATAGGCTTTATCCACCTGTATGTCCTCCAGCGCACACACATGCATTCACTTACATGCATGTGTGCACACATGCATACATACTTACGTGCACTCACCCACATGCATTGCATGTGCACTCTCAGTCACGCACACACACATGCGCACACTCACGGAACCATTCCCATTCCTGCTGAAGGGTGCAGGCTGCAACCTCCCTGAGCCACAGCCCCTGGGTGGGGCCCTGCTTGTGTGGGCAGCAGTCACTCCAGCTGGGCCGAGTGTCTGTGGCGGAGGCTGGCGGGCAGCCTGGAAGGACATTCAGGTCCCAGGTGGAGTGAGGGCCTTGCCGGGCTGGCAGGGCTCTGACTAGATGCTCGATGCTGGTCTTGGTGGGGCCCTGGGAGCTGCAGATGACTGCTCTCTGCAGGGTGCAGGCTGAGGGCCAGGGGGCTCTTCCTGGACCCTCTGCCCTCAGGCACGGGGCACTGCGCTCTGGCAGTCTTCCGAGGGTCGGCCTGGCTCACGGCACCCCGCGCCTCGCTGACGCGCTCCTCTCTCCTCAGTACACGTCCAGCATGAGAGCCAAATACCTCGCCACGAGCCAGCCTCGCCCCGACTCCAGCAGCAGTGCACACTAGACGCCCGACGCCCGCCTCGCGCCACCTGCCCCGTGCCACCCACCCACCCCTCCTGAGCCAGCACCGCTGCCACCGAGGCCGCCGGAGCCCGCCCCTCCCCCCTCTCCCTGCAGGGCGCTCTGGACCCCCATCCCTGCCTGGGTCACAAGATAGACGCTGCCACCATGCCCTGGCCCTGCCTGGCCTCCTCCCGTGTCCTTCCACTCTCTTGGACTTACTGAGCCCCGCTCTGTGCCAGGTGCTTCTGTGCTCATGTGCGCCTTCTGCAGGTGGCCCTCCAGACTCCGCATCACAGCCCTGGCCTCTCCTGCCCGCTCTGCCCCCCCCCCTCCCCCGCGGCTCCTGGCCTCCCCTGATGGCACTGGCACCTGCGCTGACCCTGTATCCCTGGGGTCATATCTTCATTCACAGGAGACCCCTGCCTGGCATTGCTGGCAACCGAGGGACAGGCCCACACCCTCCCACTCGTCCGCCCCAATGCGCGCGTCTTTCTGCAGCATCCAGCGCCTGCCTGACCACGTCCAGCCGCGCCCAGCCCTGGCTTTGCTTCTCCCTCCAGCTCCCAGGCCTCCAGAGAGGTCCTTCCCCCCCCCCCCCCCCCCCCCCCCCCGCTGGCCCAGCACTGCCAGGACAGCAGATGCGCTTGCCCAGTGCAGCTCCCTCACTGGCCTTCCAGTGCTGGCTGCCCTCTTGGTGCCAAACCCCTTCCCCCTCCCAAAGACTTGGCAGCTTCGTCGGGTTCGTTTTTTGCACTAACCGCGTTCATCATCTCTAGTGCAGGCGGGCGAGGGCTGAGCTGGACGCCGCCCCTCCCCCTCCTCCATCCCATTTCCACCCAGGACAGGTGCCGTGTCCCTGGAGCCCAGCCTGGGGATGGGATCCAAACAGTCTGTGAAAGCGCCCCCAGCCCCTGAAGCCCGTCTGGGGACTAACCACTAACCTCACTCCCAGCCTCCACCAGCCCGCCGGGCACGAGAGCCCGCGAGTTTGACCCTGCGTCCGGTCCGGAGCCTGCATCCAGCCCTGCGGCTGGGAACCTGGGTGGAAGGGGCTCTTTCCTCAAGGGGTGCTGTTGGGAGGGACTGCAGGCCTACAGGCTGTCCGGAGGGCCTGGAGACCCCTCCCTCCCTGGGCAGATGCAGCCTCAGGCACCCCTCCTGTGAAGCGGGGGACAGGCTCCCCTAAGGTGCTTTTGGTGTCAGTGTACAATGTTTGCTGTGCTTCCTGCCATGGTGGCTGCGAGCCACAAGTCACCACGTGGACGGAGCCCTGGCCAGCCAGGACGGCGAGGCCAGGGCCAGGTGTGTCCAGTGGGCCACAGGGACCCTGTGGCAGGAGGCAGTTTACAGACAGACCTGTTGCTCCCTCCTGGAGTAGCATAGCAAGGCAGCGGCGCAGCCGCAGGACCGGCCTCACCCCTCCCTGGGCTGAGACTGCCCTGCTCTGCCTTCCAAACCCTTCTCTGCTGGTGTCGGACCAAAAAGGGGGTGGGCAGGGGCATGGGGACTGGGCGTCAGCCCTGGTGCAGGACTGAGCCTTAGGGGAGCACCCCGAGTTCCTGGCCTCACTCCAGGAACCAGGCATTCCTCGGAGCTCTGCCCGCCGAGGGCGCGTTCCTGGCCAGGGCTGTGCCCCGCCTGGGTGCCCCTCTCAGCAGCACAGAGGCACACGCTGCCCACAGTTGAATGTACATAGCACGAGAGGCCGGTGCTGCCCAGACTTCGTGTGCCCACATGCCCGGCCATGAGCTTCCTCAGGGAGGCTCGCCAGGGGAGAGGGCCAAGTGAAGGGGTTCCTACTCCACTGCCCATGGAGGGGAGCCACTTTGCCCCCTGGTCTCCTTTTCCTTCTGAGTTTTGGGGACCATTTGCCTCCCTTCCCAGTGACCTTCCCTCAGGCAGCAGGTTGGGGCCAGCTGCCCGTGATGGGACCCTGCCCTGAGACCCCAGAGACCTGATGGCTGGGGGCAGGGAGGCCAAGGGCGCTCAGCCATCAGGTGGTGCCCAGCCCAGCAGGGCAGGCTCTTGGGTGCTCTGCAGAGGTCCATTTCCCCAGGTTTAGGCAGGGCAAGGTTTAGGAAGTGGAGGGTCTGGTTGGGGTGTCAGCCTTGAACCCCCTTTTCCTGGTGACTTCCATCCACCTCACTATGCAACTCCCTCCCCAAACCTGCCCAGCCCAGCCAGGAGGACCAGATGACCAGGGCCCTCTGTGGGCATTTTTGTGTTTAACCATAATGGTTGTGTGCCATGCCCGTCTATGTGTTATACATACGGATTCATTCAGACTGGCCTCCCCGCCCCCTCCACCCTGCATCTTAATTACGTGTGAACTAACACCGGAGCGCGGTCCCGTGCCCCTCCAGCCTCCGGTCCCGCGTGCCCCTCCAGCCTCCGCAGGGCCTTGGCTGTGTCCTGTCGCCGTGTTTTTGTTTTGTAAGACTGGGGAGGGGGGTGGATTTTATTTCTTGGGGGGACTTTATTTTTCTTGGCAAATACTAAAAAAGAAAAAAAAAAAATCTTGTCCATGTAATTTCTGTGGTTTCTATTCAGCTTGGGTTTCATGTTTTAAAATAAAAGGATTTTGAAAAACGGTGTCTTTTTTTCTGGGGTGTGGAGGCCCCGGCAGCAGGCAGGGTGGCCACAGCCAGGGGCTGACTGGGTGGATGGGTGGGTTGGAGGGCATTCCCTGCAGTATGCCCCCCTCACCCAAGGGTTGGGGGGGTCCACGTGGTTGATAGGTAGAGTGAGAGAGGCTTGGGGTCTTCAGGACAGGGCTGCAGCCCCCAGGTCCTGAGCCTTGGTCCCCACTGCTGTCACTCCTGGCAGTCACGAGGGACCTGCAACGCCATGGGGCTGGAGTTTGGGTTTCCTCTTAGAGGCTAAGCTGCCTTACCTGCAGCCCTGTGATGGTCCCTGCCTGGCTCCTGGGGAGATGTCAGGAGTTGGGGGATCTGCCCAGGCCAGCTGTGTCCCAAACTGGGTGCACAGAGGGATGGGGAGCAGACACACCTGACATCCAGCTTGGGGCACAAGTGTGGAGGTCCCAGAGCAGCGCCCTCTCCTGTCCCCAGTGCCCAGCAGCCCTGTCCACCACTTTCCAGCTCAGCTGCTCCAGACAAGGGACCTGAGGAGGTAGGAAGAGGGGCGTGGAGTGGGGTGCCCTTAAGGCTCCAGGCTTCCATGGATAGAGTGGCCTGGGTAACATGGCCTACTGTGTGTGCCAGTCCTGAGGCTTGAACTCGTGCTGATCTTGAGCTCTTGTGCTCAAGGCTTGTGCTCTTACCACTTGAGCCACAGCCCCACTTCTGGCTTTTTGGTAATCGGAGAGAAGAGTCTCGTGGATTTTCCTGTTCAGGCTGGCCTTGAACTACAATCCTCAGATCTCAGCCTCCCAAGTAGCTAGGTGTGATCCACTGGTACCCAGCAGCCTAGGGGACTTGTCCTTAAAAAAAAAAAAAAGAAAAAAAAAAGGACCTAGGGCTGGGAAGTGGCTCAGTGGTAGAGCGCTTGCCTGGCATGCCTGAGGCCCTGGGTTCGATACCTCAGCACCACATAAGCAGGAAAAAAAAAAAAAGCCAGAAGTGGCGCTGTGGCTCAAGTGGTAGAGTGCTATCCTTGAGCTGAAGAGCTGAGGGACAGCACCCAGGCCCAGAGTTCGGGCACCATGACTGGCAAGAAAAAAAACAAGACCTCAGACCTGGAGTGAGAGCCAGAGGCCATGAGGAAAAGTCCAGGCACCTCCTGCCCTTTCTGACCTCAGTCCTGTCTGTATCTGGCTCCTAACCAGGGCTGGCCCACCAGCAACAGCTAAGCAGACATGCTTGCAGATGCTAGGATGCAGCCATGAACTTCAGCTGGGCTGTGACCCTCCTGGGTCTCTCGGGGGGACTGTTTTGAGTATGCCAGATCCACCTGTGTGTATGTGTGCATATGCATGCATGTGGGTATATGTGTGTGCACATGTGTGTGTACAAGTTGGAAGAGAAATAGGATCTTGCAAGCTACTGGGACTAGCCAGCAGAGGAGAATGGATGCAGGAGAGAAGAGGGGGTGCAGGGCAAAGTGAGAGTGGCTGGCAGCTATGGGTGTGGACTGCCGGACGGCTCTGTGTCTGCTACAAGAGATCTGAGGCAAGGCTGTTAGACAGCAAAGAGATTTGAGGCTGCAGGAGTGGGGCAGAGAAGGGGGTCTCCTGAGATCCCTTGAGGTCCAGGATCTGGGACTTCCAAGGAAGACCAGCCTGGGGGCCACAGCTTTTTCCCAGTCACATGCAAAGTAAGTGGTGGGGGCTTAGCTGCAGCCTGGAAGAGTGGGGGAGGTGGTGAGCTGAGGAGCTGAAGCTGTGGTTGAACCCTGGATGCTGGATACCCCAGTGGGGAGCCTGCAGGTGGAAGGATCTTTGATCCTTTGAGCCGGGTAGGATGGAAGGCTGCAGCTGCGGTGCAGGCAAGGCCTAGGCAGTGACTGTTGAGATGGGGACCAAGTGTGGGAGGGTCCTAGACATCAAAGTCTGCAAGAATGGTCATGGGAGGCAGTGCGGGAAGGAGCAGCCAGGAGTCACAGGTGTCCTGAGAGGCCCCCGCAGGAAGGAAAGATGGGGAGGAGCTGGAAGCGCTGTGAAAGTGGGTCTAGAGGTGCAGTGTGAGGACAGGGTAGCAAATACCTGGCAGGGGGCGCTGGATCTTCAGAGAAGAGACCTGCAGCCAACCTGACCACTAACCTGTTTTGCAAGATCCCTCCCCACGCTCCCCTCCCTCCCCCCCCCCCCCACAGTGACTGGAAAAGAGGGACATGGGGAGGGTCACCAGGCACCTGGCTCTTGGATCCCATGACCCAGAGCTGGGGGAGGGGACAGAGGTGGCAGGAGAAAGGCACGGGACGCCCTAAAGCTGCTGTTCAGCCTGATGTTCCACAGCACCCCGTGTTACGTGAAATGGATGTTAGCATGTCCCCGGTGCTGCTGTGAGCCTTGAGAATCAAGCATAGGCTACATACAGCCTCCTTTCCTCCCGTCCTTGATCCAGAAAAGGGAGTCCCACTGGGAGCTGTCAGTTGTCACCACCAGATGGCACCCAAGGACTTTGTTGAGTGGCATCAGAGGGGGCCTGGATAGGGATGGTAGGGGAGTTAACCTAGGGGAGCCGCACCTCCAGACCCCACACCAACATCTGAACAATTTCAAAGGGCCAAGATGGGGATGGCCTACTGGTCATGGGGTCCTTCCAAGGGGTGCACAAGCATTCTTTTTCTGTGTACCCATCCTAGGGCTTGAACTCAGGGCCTGGGTGCTGTCCCTGAGCTTTTGTACTCAAAGGCTAGTGCTCTACCTCTTGAGCCACAGCCCTACTTCCAGCTTTTTGGTGGCTAATTGGAGATAAGAGTCTCACTGATTTTCTTGCCTGGTCTGGCTTTGAACTGAGATCTTCAGGTCTCAGCTTCCTGTGAGTTAAGCTGGCAGGTATGAGCCCCTGGCTCCCAGCTCCACAAATGCCTTTCTTATGTGTGTGGCCCTGGACTCAGGCAACCATCAAGGCTGGGAGGGCAGAAATGCTGGGGTGGGGGCTGGCAGGCCTGCCTCACTTTTTCTGTTGTTGTTGGTGGCCGTGGGGCTTGAACTCTGGACCTGGATGCTGTTCCTCAGCTCTTCAGCTCAAGGCGAGCACTCTACTACTTGAGTCAAGTGCCACTTCCAGTTTTCCAGTTTATTGGAGATAAAGAGTCTCGTGGATTTTCCTGCCTGGGCTGGCTTTGAACCACAATCCTCAGATCTCAGCCTCCTGAGTAGCTAGGATAACAGGTGTGAGCCACTGGCTCCCTCCTCCTGGCTCACTTCTGACAGGCAAAAAGATGGGTCTGGTCTTGGCTTCTGGGACCCCAGGCCTGCAGAAGAGCCTGGCCCCCAGCTAAAGCTACCCAGCGGGGCCTGGCCTGTCACGTGGGCATTCAAGAATAGCCACAGTTGCCAGCTGGGTTTCAGGAGTTATGAGGACACAGGTCACGGAGTCTCAGCTTTGTTGCCCATGCCCCTTGCCTTGGCCTGCATGCACTGAGCTCAACTACCCTCCTTTTCCCCTCACCCTGTTCCCGCACAGCCAAGGGAGCCTCTTCCAGGAAGTCAGCCCTGATGACCCCACAGCCCATACCCGGCAGAGAAGTTCCTTTTCACCCTTCCCCCGAAACCTGCTTGCTCAGCCTGCTCTGACGGCCAGAGCCAGCGAGGATGGAAGCTGGGTGTGGAGGCTGCGTTCTGTCACCTTTAGGTTGTGGTTTGACTTTTGAAAGCCCAACAGACTAAGATTGGTAGCTTGTGGGGGGGGGGGGGCAGGGGGGCGCTGGCTGGAGGCGAGGGGAGGAAGGACAAGGTACCATCAGTGAATGGGGCACAGCTGCCTCCCTCCCCCAGTACCCCCCCTCACTTCCTCCCCTTGTACCCCTTGTGAAATAGAACTTCCCCAGCCTCTTCCCGGGAAGCCCCACCCCCACCCCTGCAGACAGCAGCCGCATTACCTGTTCCCAGTTCTCAGATGGCCAGGCTGGGGCTCCCCCAGCTCACACCAGGCCCACATCGCGTGGCCTCGGGACTGACCTGGCCATGGGCCCTGCCACGACTCATCTCCGACTAGGCTAGCTCTAGGGAGAGGCCGATGCCAGACAGGGGGTGGGTGGGAGGCCAGGGCCAAGGGCACGAAGCCTGACTCACCCAGACAGGAAGCAGCCCACTGCTGCGCTGCACCCCATCCCCATTCCGCCTCCCCCAATGTCAGCTTCCTCATCCACATGCCGGGGCCTGAGTCACCCCACAATGTGCGGCCATCTCCACCAGTGCCGCACACTGGTCCTCCTGGCCCTGGGGGGAGGCGGTCAGCCCCATGGTGCTGAGGGTCCTCTCTCCGGCTCCTGCCCTGGGCACTGCCTGTACCATCCTGACCTTTGGGCTCTCCGGACTCAGGCCCACACCAGTGCCCGGCATGGGGAGACTGAGTCATGTTGCAGGTGCTCAACAGGCTTGGAACAGCAGAGGGCACAGAAGAGGCACAAAGGGAGGCTTAGGGCCCCATGTGGGGGTAGGGAGCCGCCACAAGGGCAGCAGGGGCTGAGGGAACAGGAAGTTAGACGGCAGGAAGGGGGAGAGGGGTGGGGACTCCCCCCTCCCCCACGGAGCTGCCCTCTTTAGGAAACCAGAAGACTGAGCCTAGCCAGCTCCACCTGCTGGGTGGGGGTGGGGCAGACATGGCTTGTCCCTCCCTGGGTCCCCAAACTCCTGGGAGGTGAGGGGGGTCGGGGGGGGGTGGTGTTTGGAGAGGAGAGAAACTAAGTAAGTCAGGGCATGCAATGTTGGCAGTGTGTGTCTGTGTGTGTGTGTGTGTCTGTGTCTTGTGTGTTAAGGGACAGGAACCCACCGGGCTGTTTGCCAGCCCAGCTGCCAGGATCCCTGAACAGCACCTGCTCTGAGCCTCAGTTTCCCTGTGTGCAGAACAGAACACTACAGCCCTCCTATGAAGAAGCGGGCCTGCTGAAAGGAGGTCTGAACACCTAGTACCTGTCCCCCCCGGCCAGCAGACTGCCCAGCCCGGATGCTCCCCTCTGGGAGCTCAGACGGAGGGACCTGGCCTGGCTGAGCCCCAGCTCTCAGCCAAGAGCTACTGTGACATTCCAGGGAGGGTCTTCTACCCCCCTGCTCCCATCCCCCACCCCCACCCCCCAGAGAGCAAACCTGCCAAACAGCCCTTCATCTGGGCACCCCACAGCCCCCCAGCACCTGGGAGGCGGGCAGCTTCCAGCGAAGACCAGGATCCCAGGTTCTGCAAAGAACGCCTTTATTCACAGCAAGAAGTCACCATAGCAACCACGCTTCCATTCCCTGAGAGCTTTTTCCCCTTAAGTTGCTTTCTTGCTACATCTTTGCGAAGAAAACACTGAACCCAACATGTGCTCCTCCAAGGCCGGTGAGCCTAGGGGAGCTGTACTGGGCCCTGTGGGCTGTCAGGGAGGAGAGCAAGGGTGGGGTGGGGTGAGGGAGGGTTGGAGGGGGGGGTTCCAGATACTGGAAGGCATAAATACAGTGTCCGACATTCCTGGGTCACCTTTACAAATGAAGGCCTGCCCAAATTGGGCTTCTGCTTTTTCTGATCCACAGAAAAAAGAGAAAATTAGACCCTCCCCCCCCTCCGCCCCTGAAAACACACACACACACAAATACCCCACCCCAACCCTTTTATCCTCCCCCTTGCCAAAGAAAAACAAAAACAAAAAACCCAGCACAGTAAAAAAATACTGTCACAGTATGTACAGCCACGCCCACTATGGGCAACTCTCCTCTGCTTCGGAGAGGAGACACTTCGCTCAGCTCTGCCGCCCCCGCCACTGTGGGGGAGACAAAGGCAGGACCTGGGGGGTGGGGGGCCGAGAAGACCCCCTCCCACACACACAGGGTGGCTGGGAGGGGAGCCCGGCTGGCAGGCTGGAGGGTCACTGCGAGGCTCTGAGCCTGGAAGTGGGCAGAGCTGTCACTGACAGCTCTGGGATCCGGATGGGACCAGAGTGCACCCCTGCAGAAGGACCCCCCAAGCCCCACACTACCAAGGTCCCCAGTTCACAGCTGGCCCAGCATGCACAAGCGCACAAGGGCAATCCCGCCTCCCTCCTCACCGGCGTGACTGCCCAGCAGTCAGCTGAGGGTGGGCACACACGGGCCCAGCCCCAGGGAGCCTTGAATGCCAAGGCCGGGGTGCATGACCTGGGTCCCCGGGCCCTTTGGATACCAGGGGTGCCCAGGGATGGGGCCTCAGCCATGGCTTCTAAAAGACAGTGTTGCGTGGACACCAGGGTGTATCCGGGTACAGGTGACAGTGGACGGAGCGGAACCTGCGGGTACAGAGCAGGGGGCTGGTCTGTGTAGGGTGGGGTGCGGCCTACAGGCACCCAGCTGGTCCTGCCAGGCCCTCTGCCAAGCCCACCCGGCTTGTGTGCTCACCTAGACGGGTCGGCCTCCACAGAGAAGGGTCCTTTCACATGGACAGCGTTGCGCTTGTTTTCAAACATGCCATAGCTTAGCGTCACCTGGTGGAGGAGGGGCAGTGATGCTGGAGCCCCAGGTTCTGAATGATTCCACAGCCTGGCCTTGCCCTCCCTCAGACCCTGGGAACCAAGTCCAGCAGGGCAGCTGGGGGGCTTCCCAGTGTCTGATGGCAGCAAACACAGGGGCTCCCACAAATCCCTATTTAAAACATTTTAGCTGGGCATGGTAGTGCACTTCCATAATGCCAGCTACTGGGGAGTAAAGACAGGAGGATGCAGGTCCAAGGCTAGCCATGGGAAAAAAGGCATGAAGACCTTATCTGACAAAGCAAAAAAACAAAAAAGATTGGTGGTGTGGCTCAAGGGGAGATCACCTGCCTAGCAAGTGAGGCCTGGGGTTCAAGTGTCAATACCACAAAATTGTTTCGTAAGGCTGGGTACTAGTGGCTCTCACTGTATTTGTAGTTTCTCAGGAGGTTGAAATTTGAGGGCTGTGGTTTGAAATCAGCCCAGGTAGGAAAGGCCATGAGACTCCTATCTCTCTTTTTTTTTTTTTTGGGTCTGGTCGTGGGGCCTGAACTCTGGGCCTGGGCGCTGTCCCTCAGCTCTTCAGCTCAAGGCAAGTGCTCTACCACTTGAGCCATAGCGCCACTTCCAGCTTTTTTTTCTTTTTTTTTTGTTTTGTCCGTTGTAGGGTTTGAACTCTGGGCCTGGGCGCTGTCCCTCAGCTCTTCAGCTCAAGGCGAGCGCTCTACCACTTGAGCTACAGCGCCACTTCCGGTTTTCTGTTGGTTTATTGGAGAAAGGAGTCTCACGGTCTCTCCTGCCCGGGCTGGCTTTGAACTGCGACCCTCAGATCTCAGCCTCCTGAGTAGCTAGGATTACAGGCGTGAGCCACCAGCGCCCGGCTGTTCTGGCTTTTTTCTTTTTGCTTATGTGGTGTTGAGGAATCGAACCCAGGGCCTTAGGCATGCAAGGCAAGTGCTCTACCACCGAGCCACCTTCCCAGTCCTGGGACTCCTATCTCTTAACTACCAAAAAAATAGAAATGGAACTATGGCTCAAGAGGCAGAGTTCAAGCTTTGAGCACAAAAGCTCAGGGACGGCACCCAGGCCCTGAGGTCAAGCCCCAGGACTGGCAAAAAAAAAAAAAGATTGTTCCTGTCTTGAGATTTGAACTCGGAGCCTCTAGTTTCTCAATCATTGGAGCCACACCTCCACTTCCAGCTTTTTTTTTTTTTTTTTTTTGGGTCGGGTCGTGGGGCCTGAACTCTGGGCCTGGGCACTGTCCTTCAGCTCTTCAGCTCAAGGCGAGCGCTCTACCACTTAAGCCACAGCGCCACTTCCGGCTTTTTTCTTTTTGCTTATGTGGTGCTGAGGAATTGGACCCAGGGCTTCAGGCATGCAAGGCGAGCGCTCTACCACTGAGCCACCTTCCCAGCCCCACTTCCAGCTTTTTGTTGGTTAATTACAGATAAGAATCTTGTGGTTTTTATCTGCCCTGGCTGGCTTTGAACTATAATCCTCAGATTTTAGGATTATAGGTAAGAGAGGAAAAAGAAAATAGACTCTACGCCGTTCTTCCCTCTCCTGCGTAACCCCTCCCTCCTCTCTGCCCACGTCCTCCGTGTACCTGCTCATGGAGCTCTGAGGTGGGCACCTGCTGAAGGTTCTCGAGGTGGGAGTGGAAGAGGCCGCTGCGGAGGAGGGGCACGCCCAATAGGGCCTCCACGATGTAGCCGATGGTGCAGTCATCTGGAAGCCGGATCCGCTCTGCTGTGCTCAGGAAGTGGCCGCCGCTGTGGGAGGGAGGGAGGGGAGGGCGAAGTGAGCCAACACTGCGCGGTGGAGATGTGGGGGAGGTCTCCTGCCTGCTGCCCCCCACCTTCCCTAGGCCCTCTACCAGAACCCCCAGGGTGGGCAGCCTCACCTGTGTCTGCACTCACCTGGCCCAGGGGCTCATCTTCAAAGCCAGCCCTCGGCTGATGCAGAAGCCAGCCCCGCCGGTGGCAAACCAGAAGTGGACAGGACGCTGGGGGGGTGGGAGGGAAGTGTGGTGAGACTCTACCGGATGGGCATCTGCTTTGCTCTTTGTTTTGTTTTGTTTTGGTCATGGGGCTTGAACTCTGGGCCTGGGTGCCGTCCCTCAGCTCTTTAGCTCAAGGCGGTTTCTGGTGCTAACTGGAGATAGAGTCTCACAGACTGGACTGCCCGGGCTGGCTTTGAACCACGTTGCTCAGATCTCAGCCTCTTGAGTAGCTAGGATTACAGGCGTGAGCCAGGCTGCTTTGTTCTTTCTTCTAACTCCCTGTTGCTTCCCTCTCAGCCCAATCTTTTTTCTGTATCCAAAGACTCTATACGAAGGACTTGCTTGTCCCCTCTTGGTCTAATCTTTTTTAATGTATCTAAAGATGGAGTATGGAAGGACTGACTGCCGCCTCATTCGCCAGGGTCAAGCACAGCACCATGTGAGTGCTTATGTGCTTGTCCACAGGCAGATCACTCCGACCTTAGCTTAGCCGAAAGCCCCCTCACCCCAGTGGAACATTCCACTCTGGGCCTGGCCAAGGACACTGCCCTTGGCCCCCAGGAGACCACAGCCTATTTTTTATTTTCTGCTTCCTTGTTAAGACCCCTAAAAACTTCCACATCCAGTCCCTTGCACAACCTCCATACCAGCAGGAAGGTCTGCTCCTTCCAGGCAATGAACAGTCCTCGCCGGTGGACAATCGATTCTGACCTATCCCTTTCCCATTCTCACTTCCTGGTGGTGGGGGAGGTGATAGACCCAGGTGAACAGCAGGGGGCGACACTCACCACCTTGTTCTCGCTGACCCTCTCAGTGGCCTGGATGGGCCGGTCCAGGCTGGGTTTGCCGATGTACACGTCCTGGGTGTGCGGGAAGCTGGCCAGTAGCCGCAGCAGGGCCCGCAGGTTCACGTAGTTGTCGTCATCCACGTGGCAGAACCATCTGCGGGCAGGGTGGACCATCAGGGAGGGCTGCCAGGGCTGATGAGTCCAGGGGAAGGAGGAGGAGGCACAGGAGGTTTATGGGGTCCAGGGGAGAAACCTTGGGGGCAACTCACTTCCTCCCCGACTGGATGAAGCGGTCATACTCCACAGCCATCTTGCAGGACAGAGCCTGGCGGCTGTGCGCAGCTGAGCAGTTTGTGTTGACCACGTTGCCTGTGGGCATAGAGCCTGGGGTTCAGGCGGGATCCACAGGGGCCTCCCCTACCCTGGTGCTGGGCTCTGGGCCTGTGAACCCTCCCCCAGCACTGCCCCCCTCCCCCCAGCTGCCCGCCCCTGCCCATTCAGCCAGCTTTTTCCCAGTACCCGCCACCTGTTGCCTCTCGCTGGGCTCAAAGGGCCCAGAGGACTGAAAAGGCCTTATCTACATGAGAATGGGGGAGCCCCCGAGTGGTGGGGCGGGGTGGGGCGTGGAGGAAACGGTCCTCAGAGCCCCCGCAGGGGTGGAGTTTGCTCTGGATAAGGCCCAGCACCCCCCTCCCATCCGAGGCTCACCCGTGTGCCTGGCCAGCTCTTCATCATCCCCATCCGTGAAAATGAATGTCTACAAAGACAAACAAGACCATGAGCCCTCTGCTCAGTGTCCCCGGGCCGGGCATGGGGTGGGGTCCTAAAGTTTCTGCACCTATGGCTCAGTATGCCTCATCTTTCTTCTCTGCACCCCAATCTCCCCACGTGCAGAGACGGGGGGGGGGGGGGAGCGAGAGCGCTCCAGGTGTGAGTGGCAGCTGGGCTGGGGCCACCGCTCCATCATCATCTCAGCAGCTGGGCCAAGGTCACCTGGGCAGCAGCGAGGCACGAGCCAGGTGGGCCGTCCCACCTGCCCGCCAGGTAACAGACTTCTCTCGCTGTGCACCTGGCCAGCACACACCCTTATTGACTCAGCTTTCGGCTTGCTGCTTTGGAGGCAGCGGGAGGGGCGGACGAGGTCGGCGTTGGGAAGCAGCGCCTCCAACGCTCAGATCGGGGACAAAGGCCTCTGCTGGGCGGCTGCCAAGTCCGGGCAGACAAAGGGCCCAGAGGGAGGATGAATCACCAGGCATTGTCCGCCAGCTTTGTCCTGGGCCAGGGCAGCCTTAACTCGGCCGAGTTAAGCAGGAGTGGCCGGCCAGTTATTACCATACAGCTGGCCTGGTTAACTGGGCTGGGCTGGACACGAGATCTCTGGCAGGGGCGTGGCCACCGGCCAGGCAACAATCCTACCCCCCATTCCCCCCCAGGCGTGAATGGCCCAGGCAGGTTCTTCAATTGTGCTTGCCAGGGGAGGGGTGGCAGGAAATGGCTCCTGTCCCCAGCCCCCAAGGGGCAGCCCTCCCGCTCACGAAGGCCGTGCCCAAAGACATTGTCAGGCCCCACTAGTGCCGGCACAAGGCAATCCTGGGCCAGGAGCGCGTTCTGCGGTAGAGAAGGGGGCCGCCGGGGCGGGGCCAGGAGCTGCCGGCGCCCGCCTGGGCCGGTCCACACACGGACAGGAATGTTCCTATTTCTTCCTGGGCTGGCCCGCCCAGCGCGTGCCGCCTGCCGCACCCACAGAGTGCAAGCCTGGGGCGGATGGGGGATGCTCAGAGGAAAGACAGCAGGGCAACCCCCCCCCCACACACACACCGACCAGGCCTTGATTTCCTTCCATGAATAAACAGTTCCAAGGGTGGCTTCAGCACCAGGGAAAACCCCCATTGTGCAGCTCAGGCTCCTGGCAGGACCACAGGACCGGACAAGGGCCAGAGGAGGGGCAGATGTGAGCCAGACTGGCACCCCTCCTTCCAGAGCCCAAGAGACACCCATGGCGGCCCACACGTACAGACTCGCACCCAGCCCCCCGCCCGCACCTCAGCATCTTAGCCCAGGAATGCCGTGGGAGGTGGAGAGGGCCGGCCCGTGCAGACACTCCGCAGTGGCGCGGGATTAAAGGAAAATGCTTTCTTAGTGAGCTCAAGCCTGTTCTCCCGAAAACCCCAGCCCAAGGCTACACCGATTAAAGTCACCTTTGTTCAGCTACGGAGCAGGGGGGCCCCCAGAATAGCTCTGGAGGTGCGGGGCTTGAGGGTATGGGGGTGCCAGGCCTTCTGGGTCCCCAACATAGGGCAGCCTGGAGAAGGGGGTGTGTAGGGCATGCACCAGACTCAGTTTCCTCTGTAAAATGAGTACAACGGAGCCGGGCTGTGCAGAGCCAGGCGCCAGGCACAGACTGTGTCCCTTCCTCTCGGGAAGGGCCTGGGTGGTGTGCACCACTCAAGCTGGGGACCTAGGTTGGAGTTGCAGGCACCGGCCTCTGGCCATGCCCCAGACCAGGGACCCGCCCCTATCAGCACCTCCCCCAACTTCCCTAAAGGAGGAAGATCACTGCAGTGAGGGCCGCAGGGGGGGGGGCACTCACAGGAAGCAGTATTGTTCCTGGAACTGCGATTCAAAGAAACACAGGATGCCAAGTTCTGCCCCATCCATTGTGGCCCTGGCGGTGGCAGCCTGCAGCCTGGCGCACTCTGGGAAGGTGGGGGGGCGGCAGTGGGTGGGACAAGGGCCCTCCGTACCCTGCTTTTCCTGAAGCTGCCCCTTGACCCCAAGCTGATGCTACCTGGATGCCCCATACCATTCTGGGTACCTCCTCCCGAACCTTCCCCTCCCATCAGGCAATGCCCTCTTGGCTTACACAGCCATTCTGCCTGAGCCTGCACAGACTGAAGGGGTGGCAGCCCTTTGCTGTGACTTCCAAAGACACCCCCTCCACCCACAACATGCCATGCGTGGTGGTGGTGGTGGTGGATTCTGCTTGCTGTGTGCATTATTAGCTGAGACAGGGCTCACCCAGTAGAGTGGCAGACCCCAACTCAGAGCACCTCCCAGGCTCCCCAAGTCTGCAGGTTCTGCAACCATCTCGTGAAGACATAGGATTAGGAAGACCCTAGGTCTGGCCCCATTTTGCCCAGCCCAGTGGAGACTTGTACTTGCCTTCCTTGACCCCGCCCCTCTGCTTGAGAAAGCCCCCAGATTCTAAGACAACGGGTGGTCAGAGCTGGTGGCAGCCCAGAGAGGGGCTAGAGGCTGCCCAAGGTCACACAGCAGGAGACCAAATGCTGGAGGCGGGGTGCTTCTGGCTCAGGGATGGTGCCCCACAAGGGCTGTCAGTCAGGGCGGGGCGGGGGGGGCAGAGGCCCCCTCATCACCAGGCAACCTGAGTGGCCAGCGCGCCAGCAGCGGTTCCCATGGAGCGCATAGCTGCACACAAGAGGCCCGACGCCTTTCTGGGCTGGAGAAAGACGCTTTGTTACCTTGCCCAAGGGGCCAGCGTGAGAGCCGTCCTAACGGCCCGGCCGCCAAACAAAACCCATGGCCCCCACTGCCCCTCCTGCCGGCCTGCTGAGCCCCTGGGAAAGGGATGCTTCATTCCCAGGAGGCTGCCCTGGGGTTCCCAGGGCCCCTCCCCAGCCAGGACCAGATAAGACCCTGCCTACCCTGTGGCCTCGGTCAGGAGCTCACCAAGACTGCCCCCAAACAGGGCCGAGCTAAACCAAAAATGCCCTGGATCTGTAGGGAATAGGGAATAGGGTCTTCTTTGAGATCCCCCCCACCTTCAAATACCCCAGGCCTCCGGGTCTGTTCCCCTACTCCCCCTGGCGGGCTCACACTCTGCCTTCTTCCCGCCCCAACTGTCCTCGCGTAGCCTCAAGGGAAAATTCAAAGTGGTGTGTATCTTGATTATGTGTGTGAAAGACACTGGTTCTCAGAGTGGAAGGGGACTAAGCACAAGGCTCCAGGCCTAAAGGACTGTACAGTGGGGAGACCCTCTCCCCACAGGCCCAGAAACCTAGTACATGCTGTGTGTTTGCTTGTTTCTCCCTCTCCCTCTCCCTCCCCCTCTTGGTCTTTCTCTCTCCCCCTCTTCCTTCCCTCCCTGTCTCCAGGACTCACCAGCCAGCATCAACTTGACGCCAGACAGTAACGAACAGGGATATGGGGTGCAGTGCCCCTGGCTTCCCTTCACCCTCAAGGAGCCCAGGGACTGTTTGAACCAGGAACTGTTTGAAGCCCAATCTGCTTGCAGAGGCTTGAGGAGAAGTAACACCCTACTTTGCTCCAACATTTGGAGAACTAACATCAGCTGTAAGGTGAATGCAGACCGTTCAGCTTTCTTGCCAATTCTGGAGCTTGAATTCAGGGCCTGGGTGCTGTCCTTAGGCTGAGTGTGTGTGTGTGTGTGTGTGTGTGTGTGCGCGCGCGCGCGCGCGCGCGCGCGCGTGCTCAAGGCTAGCCCTCTACCCCTTGAGCCCCAGCTCCGCTTCTGGGTTCTGGAAGTTCATTAAAGGACTTCCTGTTCAGGCTGGCTTCGAACTGCAATCCTCAGATCTCAGCCTCCTGAGTAGCTAAGAGTACAAGCAGGCACCCGCCCGTGCGGTGGCAATGGTGTCCAGCGCCCCCCCACCCCTTGCAGGCTATAATAAGGTATAAGGGAAAGAGGCCGCGGCAGGCACCCTGGGCTGAAGGAGAGGAACGGGCGTCTCCGCCCCCCAGCCAGCCCCGTGGCTGGACAGGGATGCAGCCTGGCCATCACCGTCCCCGCGGCCAGCTGGACCGGTGCGCGCCCGGCCCCTCGGCCCGCCCCGCCCGGGGACGCGGGGGGCTCACCATCTCCTTGTGGCGCGAGATCCAGGTCTCCAGCAGCAGATCGAGGCGCGCACGGTGAAACTTTCGGGTGGTCTTGACCGCGATGAAGACGTCTCGGGGCGTCAGCGGCTCGGCCGGGGGCCGCGGCTGTCCGTCGGCGGCTCGGGGCGCGCCCCCGGGCTGTGGACCCACGTCCCTGCGCGCACGGGTCAGCAGGCTGAAGTACTCGGACAGGCTGTGCACCTCGCGGGCTAGGGCTCCGGGCGCGGCCCCCGCCGCCGCCAGACCCGGCACCGGGGCCGCCCCCGCGGGGCCGGCCAGACTGCGCAGCGCGCGCCGGCCGCGCTCGGCGGGCACCGGGGGCGGCGGCGGGTCGGCGGTGAGCACCAGGAGGCAGGCGAGCAGCGCGCCCGCCAGCGCCAGCAGCAGACGCCGGCCGCAGCGCTTGAGCATGGTGGCCGGCAGCCGCGCGCTGCGCCTGCCCTGAGGGTCCACGCGCCCGAGGACCCCGGTCCCTGCCGCACGGTCCAGCTGCGCTGCGCGCCGCCCGCGCTCGGCGCTCTTAAACCTCCCCGCCGGCCACGCCCCCAGGCGCTCATTGGCTCCTCGCCGAGGGCGGCACCCCCCCCCGTGGGCGTGGCGTCGGAATTGCTTCCCAGCCCGGCAGCGCCCACGTGGGGGCCGCGGCGGGGGGCTGGGAACGGCCCGCCGGGGGGTCCAGGGCCCCCGCCCCCTTTGCGCCCGTGCACGCCCCGCCCCGCCGGGTCGTCTCCCGCGGGCCTCCGAGGGGCGTGGGGCTCGGTCTCCGCTGCACCGGATGCGCTGAATGCGGGGCGGGGTAGGGGGGAAGGCATCCAGGCTGCTAACGCCGGCCGCGGCTGCACGCGGCGGGGCGCGCCCTGGGCCTGGTGACCCGGGTGCTGGGACTCGAGCTCCGGGTTCCGACGCCCCGCAGGCGCGCACTTCCTCTCCCGCGACTGGCTTCCTACCCCTTGGGGCGGTCGCGGCCGATCCATTGGTATGAGCTCGAGCTGGAGGGGGGTTCGCCACCTGTGCCGCAGGTGGGGCCCCCCCGAGTGTCCAGCGAGAAAGCACATGCACCCCACTCCCCCTGCACGGGGTGTGGGGGGGGGGCTTGGTCCCGAAAACGTCAGGCGCCATACAGCCAGGAGAAACTTAAGGCCTCCCCCTTTCCTTTCAGGATGAAAGGCGGCCTTCTGTCCCATTTGGTCCTTCTGCGCTCGGGACAGATGTGACCCAGCTGTGCGCCCTCCCTGCTCCGCCTCCCTGGCACGCGGCCCCCGGCCCCCGGCCCTTCCCACGGGCCCGGGCCGCCCCCCTGCACGAGCGGGGGCGCAGGAATGCGCGCGGGAAGCCAGGGCGAGGGGCTCCGGGCCCGGAAGCGGCCGAGGGTCCCCGGAGTGGGAGCAGGAGGAGCCTCTGCCGCCGGCCGCAGCCTCCGCACTGCAGCTGGGGGCGGCTCTCCGCCGGGCTGCGTCTGGGTCCCCTCGACTCCGGCCTCCTCGTCCCATGCGCAGGAGGCCAGCGCCTGCCACGACAGCCACGGGCTAACCCTTCCCGAACACTTAGCCGCTCGGCCTGCAGTGGCATTTGTAGCCAACTGCCAGACAGCGACCTCGGAACGCGGCCGGTCCTGGGGCTTGTAGAGCTCTAGGACTTGCTGATGCGGGAGCTGGTGGCTCACATCTGTAATCCTAGCTGTTCAAGGGGCTGAGATCTAAGGATCACCGTTCGAATTCGGCCTGAGCAGGAAAGTCCAGGAGACTCTTACCTCCAATTAACCAGCCAAAAGCCAGAAGTAAAGCGGTAGTTCAAAGTGGTAGAGTACTAGCCTGGAGCAAAAATGCTCAGGACTGAGCCCCAGGGCCAATGTGTGTGTGTGTGTGTGTGTGTGTGTGTACGAGCGCACGCGCACACACACACATGCACGTGTACATACACAGACGTTGAATAGATGTCTGCCTGGTCTCTCTGGTCTCTGGGGACAGTGCTGTGGCCCCTTTGCTCTGGGGCCATCCCAGCCCCTCTGTGATGGGGAGGGATGGGAACGGTGGTTCCCAGGCCTCTTCCTGCCCACCCCAGGTAATTAGCAGACTCCACCTCGGTAGGCAGATGCCAGAGCAGATGGTGCTGACTGCCCAAGTGACAAGTCTCCCAGGCGTCACCTTCTGCTATAAACCCCTCCCCCGCCAGTCCCAGAGCACTCCTGGAGCCTGCCAGAGGCTATAGGGCCATGGGGGTGGGCAAGAAGGAAAGGGACCTACCTACCTGTTGTCCCATAAGTAGTCCACTCAGCCCAGCTGCAGCCTGGGGGGGGGGGGTCTTTGCTCTTATCTCCACTGCAAACCTCTGTTTCTGATCACCTCACCTTCTCCCCTACTCATCTCTCCTCTCTCCCCTGGACTGCTTGGCAGCCTATACCCTGGCCTCTGGGTCCCTGGCTTACCTGTTCCATTTATTCATTACATCAAGGGAGCCAGAGCAAGCGTGGGACGGTCACACCTCCCATGCTTACTCACTTGACCAAGTGTTGGGAATCCGTGTGGGCCCCCATGCCAGGGAGTGGGGCTGCTTAAGCCCCCAGCACAGGTTCTCATGCTCCCCCACCACACCCCAGCTCCTGTGGCTCAGCCACATAGGGCCATTTGCCCATTTTATTTATTTATTTTTTTTGGGGGGTCTGGTCGTGGGGCTTGAACTCTGGGCCTGGGCGCTGTCCCTCAGCTCTTCAGCTCAAGGCTAGCGCTCTACCACTTGAGGCATAGCGCCACTTCCGGCTTTTGTCTTTTTGCTTATGTGGTGCTGGGGAATCGAACCCAGGGCCTCAAGCATGCAAGGCAAGCGCTCTACCACGGAGCCACCTTCCCAGCCCCCATTTGCCCATTTTAAAGAAAGCAAACTGGGGCTGGGAATGTGGCTTAGTGATAGAGTATTTGCCTAGCATATGCATGAAGCCCTGGGTCTGATTCCTCAGTACCACATAAACAGAAAAGGCCCAAGTTGGCTCTGTGGCTCAAGTGGTAGAGAGCTAGCCTTGAGCAAAAACAGCTCAGGGACAGTACCCAGACCCTGAGTTCAAGCCCCAGGACTGGCAAAAAAAGAAAAAAGAAAAAGAAAGCAAACTGATGCCAGGCAGGAGTCAGTGGCTCACACCTGTAATCCCAGTTACTTAGGAGGCTAAGATCTACAGATCTGAGTCAAAGCCAGCCAGAGCAAAAAAATATATGAGACTCTTATCCCCAATTAACCACCAAAAAGCTGGAAGGGACGCTATAGCTCATAGTGGTAGAGCACTAGCCTTGAGCAAAAGAGCTCAGGGACAGCACCCAGGCCCTGAGTTTAAGTCCGCACCCAGGCCCTGAGTTTAAGTCCGACAACTGACACACACAAGGAAGGAAGGTAGGAAGAAAGGAAGGAAGGAAGGAAGGACGGCAGGCTTGGACAGGGACAAGGGTGTTGTTCGAGGAGCCCTGTGCTATGGCTCCTGTGTGGAGCTAGCCCGGAGTTTCCTGAGGCTCCCTGCAGCCATGCCTGCGGGGGTCTGTGGGGGACATGGCTCCAGTCACTTGTATGAGAACCGCAGGGCAAAGTCTTGTAGCATTCTTGTGGGGGCTGCAGGCTTTGGCGAGAATGATTCCATTTCTTTGCTGTCAGGAGAATGGAATTTTGTGGTGACTCCTTAAGGTCTGAAAACTGGAGGGGGGAGGCTGGCCGGCTGCCCCCACCTCCTCCCAGCTCAGCTCCAGCCTAGGCACTCCCCTTGCCCCCACACCCCCAGATCTCCCTCCAGGGACTCTCTACCCAAATAGGGAGTGGAGGTACAGGAAATGGGGAGTGGAGATAGCTGGTGAGGGCTGACCAGGTTACCCAGGAAGCCCCTTGGGGCCTCCGAAGGGGATTGGGAAGGAGGCTGTCCTTTGTCCCAGTCCCAGGCAGGACCACATGACCATTACTTACCCAACCCTTAAGGGGCCACCTCTCTGTCTTTAACCTGTGGCCTTAGTGCCCTGAGCCTCAGTTTCTTCCACCTAATGCCACTACCACTTTTCTTTTTCTTCACTACTGACAGTTTGAACTCAGGACCTCACACTCATCCAGCTTGCTTATTCAGTTCTCTGGTGCTGCTTTACCGCTTGAGCTGTGCCCCCAGCCCAGCTTTTTTTTGCTGGTTTCATTATGGATGGATGTTTCCCAGACAATTCTGCCCAGAATGGCTGGGAAACACAATCCTCTGAATCTCAGCCTGGTGAGTAGTTAAGATGACAAACATGGGCCACTGGTGTCTGGCTACCATCTTTGTTGTTGTTGTTGTTGTTGTTGCCAGGCCTGGGGCTTGAACTCAGGACCTGGGCACTGTCTTAGAGCTTCTTTTGCTCAAGGCTAGCACTCTACCACTTCAGCCACAGCACCACTTCCAGCTTTTTCTGTGTATGTGGTCCTGAGGAATCAAACCCAGGACTTCATGCATGCTAGGTAAGCACTCTACCACTAAGCCACATTCCCAGCCCCACCCATTTTTTTAAAGGTGTTCATTGGCAAAGTGGCAGCCTGGTCTTAAGGCCCCGGATGTGGGCTCCTCTGGGCATAGCCTCTCTGCAGGGACTCAGGGCTCCTGACGGCCAGGTGCCAGATTTGATGAGACCTGCCTGTTGAGGGGGGTTGGAGAATTGGTCAGTCAGTCATGTCACCAGAGAAAGCCACGCTGACATGTGGTAGTCTGGAACGTTCCTGTCCCCTCTGGGAGGGGGACACTGTAATATTCAAATTGAGTTGAGGTCCTTTCCTTCCCCTGAAGCTGGGGACACCTGTTAGAGTCAGGCCCACCAGGTCCTGAAGACATGGACTGGGCCTACCCTTACCTCACAGGGACCCCAGGACGCTTGGAGCTAGCATCTGCCCACTTCCCTCTGGTGTCTTTGGGCCCCAGCACTAGCTCTCTTGTGGGGTCCTGGGAAGATCTATGGAGACATAATGCGTGATCCATTAACTGGGCAGGAAGCCATCTGAGGTGGCCCACTGCCAGCTGGTTGCTGTTCTGGGTCAGTGAGCTGCTCAGTGTCCCGGGACCCGGCCGCCTCCCCCTGGCAGCAGAGCCCAGAGCGTCCCTGCCATCACCACACACAGTGGCAGGAAAGTGGGTTTTGGCGAGGGACTCCTTCCTTACCTCACACACACACACACAGAGCCAAACGGAAGAAGTACGGCTGAGGGGCCTAGCACGGCCCAGCCCAGAAGCTCCTTGTCAGGGGCCTGGTATAGAATTGTGCTCAGTGCTGGGTGAACACTGGCTGGACAGACAAGGGAAGGGATGGGCAGGTGGGTGGAGAGATGGATAAGTGGATGGGTGGATGGATGGACAGAAGGATAAATGGATAAATGTGTGGATGGATAGGTAGAAGCAGAGGGGCTGGGGCTGGGCAGAAGCTCAGTACAGCTGCCTGGGGAGGGGGTGAACTTCAGGGAGGAGAGAGGGACACAGGGCTGCAGGTGGTTCC